AAAAAAGGAAGGAGAATCCGAAATGCGACATCTGATTTAGTTCCCCGGAGGCCTCGGACCCGATCGACCACATAGTAGTAATAAAAATTTATGTTTAGGATAGTTTTTTAAATTAAATCTACTTCAGATTCAAGTTACAGGTTTATGTAGTCGATGGATTAGGTAACAGGATTGCTACACTGGGGGACAAGATAGTCTATAGTTTCATTAACAATAGTGCAGTTGAACTTCGTGAAGAGATACAATTTACATGATTGCTCAGACTTCAGTTACTTGATGTAAATGCATCTAGTAGCTTATTTTCAAATTCTTGGTTTTGACCCAACATTCATTTATGATGCTATTAGAAAACCAATGATTACCCTTATATTCTAGATGAGATTGTGGAAAAGAAGTGTCTATTCAGACTTGATGAATCAGATTACAACATTAGAAACAATACCAGCGAGATATCTGTTGCAAGAATTACAACTAATACAGACATTATAAAGAAGTATCTTGACGTTGTTTCTGATGATCAGGTTATTTATAATAGTATAGTATTATGAACAATTTTCAGGAAATTATTAATCCGTCACATTCTTTGATAAATTTGCTAGAAATTGATCCTGAGCTAAGTGCCGAATTCTGTCTCAATTTAACCTCAACACAGGACAACACTACTAAGATATTTAACATATTAGTTAGATTTGCTACTAACAAAAAAATATATATTAATATAACAATTAATCATGTTTGTTAACTTACTATTCTATACCTTTACAGACTGTTGTTTCATGCACCGACGATACCGATATAGAACTTCATGGAGATGAAACAGCTGACAGTGCTCCTAAAAAGACTGCATATGTACAATGCGGTGATGAAAGTGTCAAGTTGCACCCATGTGAGGAAGTTGTGATCTGAATGAACAATCATCAAGTTATTGTTTTCACAATAAAGGATGCATCTTTAGATATATAGATGTTTCCCTTTCCAGAATATATTTCTGTTGAGAACTTTTCCTATATTCTGTTGATATGTGTCCTGGAACCAGTATTTGGATTTAAAACTATTTTTGTTATGAAGATTATATTATAATATACTAGATGTTAAACTCGTTCAATGGACGGGGTAGACAAATATTAGTAGAAATTTCAAAAAATATTTTTTAAAAAAATGAATGTTATATTATTTTTAGAATTTTGCATGAAAATAAAAGTGTTAGATATAGATGTGATACTACTTTTTTCATACATCAATATAAACTTCAAACTTGAGCAAATTTCAGTAATGGAAACGAAAAATAATTTTCATGAGACATATTTATTCAATCTAAAAACCCTTTGTAGCCAAAAAGAAATTTTTTTATTCTATCCTAACCCACCCCCTCTCCCAAAAAAAAAAACAAAAAACAAAAAAAAAAAAACCGATGATATTGATCGCCAAGTTTGTCAAACTGATTACAACAAATCAATTAATGGTAACACTTAATTTGGTTACTGATGTCTTATATACGATTTTTATTTTATTTCATTTTTTCGTTGTCGGCAATAACTCTTGAACTTAAAATTTGCAGGAAATGTGAAACCACGACATTTGTGTTTCAGCAATCAGCAACAAAGATGACTGAGAAATTAAAAAAGCTATTATGCAGCTGAAAAGAAAAGGCTGAGACGCGAGGCTTTGATTTCATCAGTTTTAGGCCTTAGGCGAGAGGGTTATAGTCCAATTTCCCTCATAAAGAAACTGCACCACTCCCGTATTCTTTCTTTTTGCATAGTCAACCAATTATGATCCAACTCCTCGTCTTCCCTATAAGGCTACTACTCGACTCGGGGTATTCATACTGTTCTGCCCAAGCTTTCAAAGAGAAGTAGATCTCTCCCGAGTCAATATCGAAATCCGCTTAGCCCACATGAACTCCCGATATACAGGGGGAGCTCGCCCCATTCAGTTGGAGGTTATGGACGGACATAAGGTCTCAGCCTGTATTTTATAAATAGATTATCTTATCTAATAGCTTCACTTCGTTCCGCTTCGTCCCTTGCCAATCACAAGCATTACTTTCTAGTTTGTTTGTGTCTTTCCATTCATTATGAGAGTGTGAAAACACAAACCATCACCTAAATTTTGCAAAAGTTCGCTTCCAAACTTGGAGTAAACGAACATTAATTTTCCTTTTACAATACACAATCTGAAAATGCATTTAAAGTGGTTATATAAAATATGAATGGTGAAATATAAAACTTGTAATTTCGTACATTAATATAATATAATTAATAATGGGAATATTAAGTAATGGTGATTGGAATATTAATCAATGATTAATATAATATAACTAATTTGGGACTTATTCTGGAAACTTAAAATGATAATATTATTCCACAATCGATCATCTGGGCCAAGCCTCTATTTCTGAATGGACAGAGTATTTTTAATATGAATTAATAATATTTAATTGAAAAATGATAGTAGTATATTCATTGACAATTTGGTCCCATATCATCATTTTACATTAAAAGCCAGCCCAAAAAAAAACATTAAAAGCTAGCCTACCTTATCACCAATCAAATACAATTTCCAAGTTTGAGTTTTCTTTCTTAAATTTATGTATCAATCGAGTTTTATACATCATTCTTTATATTGTTCTTTTCCTATACCATAGTATTTTGCATTTAAGATACGGTCTCCGAGGACCAAATTCCAATACCTTAGGATAAAGTGCAAGAAGATGATTTTGGCAAGGCATTATAAGCGTTTAAAGTAGAGTAGTCTTGGCACAATCAGAAATACACATTGCCCTAATTTCATTTAATTTTCAAGTCTCATCGTCCAAAAATTAGATACTTGGTTTGTTTTAAAATTATTAGTATTTAGTTTAAATTTTCCCTTTTAGTATTGTTCAAACTATAAATGAAAATCAAAGTGGACAATAATTTTGAGATGGAAAGAATACGATATAATTCATGTAAATTGACATTCAAAGTTTAGATAAATTAAGCCGTCGGATAATACTTCCATCATGCTCAGATTATAAATGCCTCCCCAGGAATCTAATGCTAAAGAAAACGCGCGAAGAGGAAGGCAAAGATGACAAATGTTTAAATAGTAAGACAATCAGACTGCAACATTGATAATGTTGTATCCAAGCAATTCAGAATTGAAGCACTTTGGATTGTCTTTTGAGGCAAAAATTCGGGCTTGATAACCACAAAATATAGCAAAAGCCTCATTTCCATAACCACATAATATTGTCGCAAGTTGCAACTTTAGAAAGCACACAAAAATTAGTCATCTTTTTGTTTATGAAAAAGGATTTTAATATTTCTCCTCGTCCCAAAATGTATATATAAAGCTTCCTATATTGAAGAGTTTTAATACAGCAAAGAAATTTTTACTTCCGGATGGTGACATTATAAGTGGCGTAGATAATTTAGTGGTACAATAGTACTCCTTCTGTTTCAAAATTATTGTCCAGTTTGAATTTTTAGTTTTAGTTCAAATTATACTAAAGCAGAAAATCAAAACTGGACAATAATTTTGGGACAGAGGGAGTATCTTTCTAGTTCGAAGTGTCTGTACTCGTTTTGAACTAATCTAATTAATAACCCATGGATGATTTGAAGAATAAAAGAAAAAAATAGTAAGTGAATGATTAAAAGGATTAAATAAAAATAATTAGACAATCATTGAAAACTTTTCCATATATTTACAATGTTACAACTTATCTTACCGATCCAAATTCCCATCTCTTATCCCAAAACGATTTAAGTAGAATTGTGATTCTGAAAACTATGTTCCACAATCGTTTATGACTCAGGAAGCCTTTTCCAAACAAAAAATAAAAAATAAAAAATTAAAAATTAAAAAAAAAAACCGAAGGATACCTTAATTTTTGTAGCCCCTACCCAACTTGCCTTATCATACCATACCTATGTCCCTAAATTTTCAGGTTTGGTTTGTTGTAAAGTCATAGAAATGGGAGATAGCCGCAAGTTAATTATCACCGCCTCTAACTACAATTTGCCATTAAAGAGACTTTTTTCTTCCCTAAGGAAGTATTTTTTCCCCCCAAATATTACTACAAATATGTTAATTCACTTTATTAATGCATGACTATATTTAACAGCTTTCTGTATAATGTGCTCTTGTGATGATTATTAAAAAAAAAAGACAAAATCATGATCATAATTTTGTTGGATTTACATATAATTGACAAAGATAAATGAAATGTAGCAAAAATATGAGCCCTACAATTTGGTTAAAATATCACATCGATCAAGTTAAATTTTATTCAAAGAAAAAGTGATATCATTGACACTTTATAGTATACACATCTTGCAACTCCTTTCAAGTTTTATCTATTATCGGAATACAAAATAAATGAAGGCAGGGGTAATTTTTCTTTTCTTTTTGTTTTTGGAATTTCATTGTTTTTATTCAGCACTGAGAAGAAATTAAAAATAAATTTTACTGCATTAAATTAACAATTTATTCTTACTCAAAATCGAATAAATTACAGTTAGTTTTTTTTTCCCCTCTTTTTAATGCATTTCATGGTGAGTTCAATTGGTAATGGTAACTTTCCAACATAAAAAAATGTGTTACATAAATCTCTCCTTTTAAAAAATATTTATGTTCATAACTCAATGACTAAATTAAACACCAATAGAAGGGGAAAAATAATGTCTCTACTGTAAATAGTTTATTTTGAGATTTTCTATTATTAGTAACGCATAAATATATAAAATCTTTTTCTTAATATCGGATTTTTTTTTTCCGAAAAAAAAAAAGAAAAAGGAAAGGAAGAGATCAATCAAATTACGTGCACGTGCATCACACTAACTCAGTAGTAGTACCGTACCTCTCTGCATCTCACAATCCTTATCACACAGCACAGATATTAAAATTAAAAAATACAGTATATTACTATTGTACTATTTTACCCCCAATCACGTGCCATCTCCAAACACAAAAACCCCAGCCTACCATTGGCTAAATTAGGCATTTCGGAATCCAGCTAAACCAGACCCCACGCGCCTATTCAGCACACACGCCCTTTCTCTGCTATGAATAGCCAGCCCCATCCACCATTATCGTCTTTCTTTCTCTTCTTCGCCCCAGAAGAAATAAAACACGCACACACACACCAAAAATCTCTCCTTTTTTCTGGGTTTCGTTTTCCCCTCCCTTTCCCCCTATTCTCCCTCTCAGCCAAGCCTTTCACTGTGCGTCCGCGTCATTCCTTTTTTTCCAATTATAGCTTTCCAACCACAGGTGAGAATAACCATGGCTTTCTATCTTTTTTCCCCTTTTCTTTTTCTGTTCACGTTTTGTTCCTGTTTCTGTTTTTTTTTTTTTCTTTTTGCACCTTCTTTTTTTGGTTTTATAACCATCACCTGCTAATTTAATTTCTTTTACGATTGTGGGTTTTTTGTTTCAATTGACTTATTGTGGATCCGGGATTGACTTTGTTTGCAGGCGGGGGCTTGGATTTTGAGGTTTTCATTTTAATTCGTCTAAAAATAAAATTGAAAGGGAAGAGAGGAAGATGAATAGGTGTGCTTATCAACATCAAAACCACCACCAGCAGAAGACGGGTTTTGTTGGATTGGGTTTTGCTGGAGAGATGATGAGGAGGGGTGACTCTTATATTAATTCTTCTGCGTCCATGGCTGCTTGCCCTGCACCTAACGGCGTCGTTTGTCCGAAGCCTCGGAGACTTGTTAATGTTAATGAACCCATCAACATCAGACCTTCTAGAGTTGTGCATACCACCAAGTACGTTGTTTTGTTTTGTTGTTTTTTTAATTTTGTTAATTAATCATTTCTTGTTGATTATTCCTCTGTTCTTTTTTGTTGTTAATTGGGGGATTGATTTTGTTTAAATTTTTTTGGTTGGTTTTTTTTTTTCTTTTTCTTGGTAGTAATCATTATCAACTGGAGGCTTGTGAATCAAGGGCAGGAACAGAGCTTCTGGATTTGATTCTCGCCAAGGTTCGATCCATTTTCTTTTCCCCTTTGTGATTTTGGGTTCGTGTCATTCTTTCTCGATGTTCTGTTGGATTTTTTAATATTTTTTTTCTTCAATTTGAAACATTTTGAACAACTTGTGTACAAATCCAGATGTAATTGTGTTCAAGTCCTTAAATTAAAGGCCTAATGTGGACGAATCCAGATGTAATTGTTTTCAAATCCTTAAATTAAAGGCCTAATGAGCTGGTTTTTTGTATATGTGGAATTTTTCAAAGTTATGAGAAAGTTTTGGATGCTGTGATAAGATATTGAGCTGTTTTCTTGTTCAGTTTAGCTCCCTATCAATTTGTTCATGTCCAGAGGATACATTTTGTTGGTAAAACTTTTACCAGTTGACCAGTTCTGACAGAGCTTGTCAATTTTGTTAATACAGGGGAATAATTATGGAGCTGAGAGATCCAGTTTTCAAGTTGCTTCATCTCCTCCATTTTACAACGGGTCGCCACCAGTAAGAGCTTCAAACCCTGTGATCCAAGATGAGCAGTTTGGGATTGGGAAGATGATGATGAGTCCACTGTCACCGTCAATGGAAGCACTGGCCAAGAGTGGCAGTGGGGGATCATCATCTGGCCGTGTGAAATGTGGAAACAAACCAGCTCCAGTTAGGATTGAAGGCTTCGAATGCCGGGGAACTGCTGTGGTAGCCTGAAACCAAAAAAACAGGTCCATTGACTCAAAACCACCATCCCCACATCATAACAGTAACAAAATAACAAAAGCAGCTATAGAAGAAGAGTTAATTTATAATCCTGCCCATTTGGCAAGAGGGAGAGGAAACCCCCCCAAAAAAAAACTATCAATTTGATCTCAACCATTTGTTTAGTTTTGTATATAGAAAAAAGGAGAGAGTGTGTGAATATGTAATGCAGTAATGGGGTTCATTATCATGAGTGAGAGAAGTTGATTCATGAGGAAACAACAATAAAGAAGCAGCAAAAGGGGAAGATTATGGCAAAATTTTCATGTCTTCTCTTTTGCTGGTTAGGTCTTTTTTTTTTTTTTTTGAGTTTCTTGTTTAGGTCATTGTTGCTTTTGGAGATCTTTTGATAATAGTGAAGAGTGTGAGAGAGACACTTTGAGAGACCAAAGGGTGAAACTTTTGTAACAGTTAAAGTTTTCCTTCATCCTTGTCCTTCTTTGTAATTGAAGTCTGAAGGCAAGCGTTAAAGATGGTCTTTTTTCTTCTTTTAGACAGTTTCTCTGCTTTATTTTTTCTCCATTCATTTCTTTACTGGTGCTGATTGCTGAAGCTGATAATTATTGTTGATATCACGTGGTTGGACTGCCATTTTCAACCTTTAATTATATGATGGTTCCTCTGTGTTATCATATTGATTACAGGGATTTCTTTTCTACTGGTCCAACTCATCATTTTTTTTAGCAAAGTTCACTGAGAATGGGCGCTATCATCGCCACTGAATACTGGGGGATGAATGTTAATAAAATACTAATGGGACCCAGTCGGGTTAAGCTCCATCCGGGGCGATTTGTCGGATCAACAAAAAGTATTGAGTTTATATTATTCTCATTTAGCAATTTTTGTTTGTTTTTTTTTTTTTTGAAAAAGATACTTGTATATTAGTTATAAAATAGTGCATAAATTATTACAACGCATTCTATGCAATACTAAGAAGAAAATCGATTGTAGGATTGTTTGGTGGAGAAAACTCAAAAAAGGGTTAAAAAAAAAGAAATGGAAAGATGCCAAATTCAAGGCAAGTGGGAAGTGTGGGAACTTGTATTTGTGTGATGGAAAACATAGGAGAATACGTGGAAGGATTTGTATTCTCTTGTTTGTGATGACTACATAGTACTCTACTAATACTATAATTCCTCTTTCTACTGTCTTTTTGAAAATGGAATTTGCTATGAAGATTTTGAGTATTGAGTGAGACAAGACATTATTTATATAGAATTGTAGAGATATGGTTTTAATGTTTTGTTTGTTCTTTTTCTTCTTTTCTTTTTGGTGTGCTGCGTCTTTCTTTGGCTCCATTGCTGACTAGTTTTTGCTGGCTCTTGCCGGTTGTTGTCCACTTTCTGCTCAGACAAAGTCACTATAAAAGATCCCCCCAGGGAATTAGTCTTTTGGACCATCTTTTTATTTTTTTCCCCCGCATTTGAATACTGTTTAATGTATAAATTAATCAAAGTATCTTCTCATCACTAATGACTATTATTTCTGCTAAACAGTGAGCTTAAGGAGACAAAGCCCACTGAATTTTGGATATCTAGTTCCAACTTTGAAACAAAAGTGGTTCTAATAAACGAATATTCTCTTCAAGAGAAGCCATGTTGTTGTTTTCACTCCTCGGATTTTTTGGGTCACTCCCCCTCCACTACCCATCCATGTGGAGATGTTTTAGGGTATGATAGTGATATGATTATGTTTTTTTTCTTTCATTAGTGTTAGTAAAATAAGAGTTTCTCAGATTATTATCATCTTGTCGAGTATAGTCTTGTTTTAAAATTCTTATTAGTGAAGAAATGTAACAAATCATTTAAGTTGTATTTTGTGGACAGTAAAAAGTTTATAATTATTGGTTCTTAAATGACTTGATTTGGACCGGAGAATATTGTTTAGTGAAGATCTATAATATGTTTCTTTTACTATAGACTTGTAGTGCGACAAAAAAAAAAAAAGAAAAAAAAAAGGAGTGAAAGACTGGATTCTGTAGTAAAAAGCAATGGGTTTAAAGAACCAGATTAATGACAAAAAGTTGGCTTTCACTGACTATAATTTAAGGGAAACTTGAGAGCTTATTTAGAAGATTAGTCAAATGAATCAATCATTCATATCAGGGGTCACATCAGTGAATGATAATGTATTACATTTTGTAATAAAGACAGTTTCTTGTATCCAACTGTTTGGCTGATCATAATTACGTACACAGAAGGCAAATTGAAGTTTATACAATTAAAAAACTTCAACCTGGTCCTATGCTAATTACATCAGCATGAATTCTTCACAAAGAATCTGCAACATTTTTCCCTTTTAGGTGATTGTAATGAAATACTATACATATAAACTGTAAGAAAATAAATTAATGTTAAAAGCTTTAAAAAAAAAAATGCTTCACTTCATCTCCAGGTGGGAGTTGGTCTAGGTTGTAAGCTGGTTGTACTTGGTGATCTTCTGATTCCTGAATGGATTCAGGTAATGCATCAGCTAATTTCATTCAAGAAGAATGTTTTCATGCATCATGAAAGTGAAGAAAAAGATGTTATTTTTTCCTTACCAGTTGAGATTTTGGGAGAAGCCCTTGGTGACATGTCAGGGGTTCTTGGAGATCTTGATGTTGTCCTAATCCTGCAAAGCAATGAGTTTTCACTTCTCATGAATGAAAATCGACTTTCGGATGTTCAGAAGTTGGTCTTAAACTTTGAATCTTTTGAAGCATAATGGGGGTAAATCTGCAAATGTTTGCTGAAAAAATCTTTGAGAAGCAAGAACTGAGGAACTTACTTCTCTGTAATCTCTGGTCGCTTTGGTTTGTCCCGGATATGGCCACTGCCCGGTGATCCATCAGTTTCTGCGTCCAAAGAAAAATCACAAATTAGATACATCGATTAGTATTTCTCTTCTTCCAGATGATCTACATTTCTAAGATTATAAGGTCTGATGATGATCAGTCTTTGCTTTAGGGATGTGTTCTGACCTATAATCCCTCCAGTTCCAGCAGTAGTCTTGGATTGCTGGAGGGAGTCTTTTTGGGATCTAAAACTATCTACAGAATCAGAATGGTTATCACTACTCTCTGAGTTTTCTTCTTCAACATCAGATGCTGCTTTCTCCCCACCACCAGATGATGATGATAATTTCATGCTTCGTTGAGGAGTCCTCGGAGAGGAAGGCCCATACCTAGATGAATCTGCACTGCCTCCATGGTGCATATTCAGTTGTAATCTCTCTATCTCCTCATCTTTCTTAGCGATTGCGTCTTTCAGGGATGCAACCTAAAGCAGTTTAAAAAAAGAAATACTCTATCAGGATGGGACATTTTTCATCAAGGTCCAAAATGCCTAACTCAAGTTATTGAATCTCCAGTATCATTAGACATAAAAAGAACAATTTGCAAAAATCAATGTCTGGTAATGTGAATGGAGTGAGATAAAGGAACAGCACCTGCTCCATCAATTCCCTAACATCTCTGCCATCTTTGCTGCTCTTTGCAGCACCGAGCTCGACTCCAGATACCCTTTCAGCAAACTTCAAGGTGCTGAGACTTTCAGAATAAGAATTTGACTCAGGATTTAGTTGCACAAACATGAGTGTCTTTGCATTTCCACCTGTATCACCCACAACAAACGGGAAAAGACTCATGAGGAGGTGAACTTCACTTTTGATCGATAAATCATCCCATAATGCAGCAAAGATGATAGTTGCTTCCTTGGCAGCAAATGCATGAATTAGATGTGACACTCAGGGTAGTATGAGATCAATGAACTAGAATTACCTAATGAGCTCTGGAGAACTTGAGTGAGCTTGCTGTTTCTGTAAGGAACATGAGAACTCTTTTGTGCCAAAGCAGATATGACATCACCAAGGGCTGACAAAGATTTGTTTATATGTTGTGCCTCTTTTAGTCTATCACCAGTGACTTCAGAACGGTCGACTCTTTCACTTCCTGCAAGATCTACCAAATGAAGGCTACTTTGCATCGTTGATCCAGTTTTCTGATCTACCCCGCGAACATGGATAGAAACAATGCTGCAAAAATTCATCCAAATGCTTAGTTTTATAACACGAGAACTAGTTTTTCAGGAAAAACATGCAAACAAGTTACAGAGAGGATTTCGCATGAAAGTTAGAAACCTGTGTGATCGACTGCTTCTTTCATTTAGTGCAGTCGAACCTTTAGCTCTATTCTTCAATCCAACATCCATCAAATGCATTACATCAGATGTTGCTCTTACAGGATACATACTGGCATCAGGAACCGCTAATCCATTTTGTTTGGCTGTTGACAAGATCCCAAGTGTGTGCAAATCAAGGAAAAAACAACATGGTTTCATGATTGTAATTATGCAAGGTGAAAATGCTCAGGTTACTGATGAAACGGCCTCTGTGTAAACTGAAGTTTTAGAGAGAAAATTCATTGACAGAATTTCATACATAAAATAAAACAAAGTGTTAAAGGCCTTGCTGAAATTCATCTAGGACAATATAACTCTACTATGATTGTTTGCATTATGAAATAATGCAAGGTGTTCGAGCGTATAGAAAAGGATATCTCTTTTGAGAACCATCGGCTGCCAGTAAATCGCGAACTTGTTCATTGTATATTTCAACCATCTGAACAGATATGTCATAATGGAACGTGCTCTCTCTACTCTGACTAATTGCAAAGAGATTGTTTAGGGCGCGGTAGTTGACCCCCCATTCCTCTTCAGTAGCTCGATCAGGTCCTGTCTGAAGCAAGATTCGATCCTATTTCAGTAACTAGAACTCAAACGGAATGGTAAACTGAACTGTACAGGTCAATTCATTAAGATAATACATACCATGGTGTAGGTTTTCCCTGAGCCAGTTTGACCATAAGCAAATATGCAAACACTATATCCATCCAGAACTGATTGTATTAAGGGTTGTGTATCTGAGTATACTTGAACTGCCAATTCACAGAAGCAGATGAACAAAAGAAGTGAGCTGAGCTCCATGTTTATAAGATTTTCTGAGGGAGAATAAATTTTGATGCATAGCATCCAAAATCTGTGGAAAAGGTTCTGAAAAGCAAAGTAAAAAAAGGAGTAAACCTCCAAACCTTGTGTTGCAGATTGGTCATAGACTTTGTTGAACTTGAAGAGGCGACGGCTTTCTTTTCCTTGCTTAGCAGGATTAACAACGATCAGTTCCCCATTCTCACCAACATATTCAACAATTGTCTGGCTTTCTTTCTGCCCAGTTATGAATGGCCTTACACGACAGTACACTCTGATATTTCCTATTCACAGGAGGCCAAAGGAAACATTATTAAAAATTATTAACTATGAAGTTCTAATTTACTTAAACGCATCTTGAAACAATCGAACCTTTAAACTCCTGAAGCTCATTATGTAGCTTTTGATTCTCAGAGAGGAGTGAGTAGTAACTCTCGGCCGCATTCTGTAATGCTTTGATCCTAGTTCCTATAATCAACTTTCACCAATGAGATCCATTCATGAAATTGAAGTTTAACGAAAACACTTGTTTTTTTTTTTATAACTTAGAAATGAGGGGGAAAAAAAGTTATTTAAATTCTGACCTAAGGTATTAAATTCCTCCGAGTAGCCTTTCTGCGTCTTCACAATTTCTTGCTTGATTGACTGTGTAGAAAACTTGAGTTCCTGAATGATTAAGTCCAAGTTCAGTTTACAAGACGGGAAACAGAAGGCATGAAAAATTGATATAGTATATAACCAAACAAGATGCATACACGCAGGGCACCAAGCTGAAATTCTGTAAATATTTGGTATATGTGCTCTTTCTTGTTCCAACCCTTTGATTTTTGTTCCGAAGATGCCTCGAGATCCCTCACTCTACTCTTTGACACGGTCAAGAGTTTCTCAACTTCATTTAGCCTCTCCTGTAAAACTTGTTGAGCTGCTCTAGCTTCTGTTTCCATTTGTAAGCAACGTTGCTCGTGGGCTTTCCTTGCAGTTTCCAGCTCTTGCTTCAAGTCTGCAATTTCCTGGCTATGATCCTCTTTCGCAGGGGTCACTTTAGCAGCATCCTGTTCCTCAGCCTTTCTTCTATCCTCAATTTTGGCCTGCTCATTCAAGCACGAAATCAGACTAGATAAAATGCTCCTCTAGGATAGAATCAGCACTTCACATATAATAATCATGTTTTCTTGCAATGATCATAAAGAGGAGCGGAAGCAGATTCACGCTTCCATAAACATAGAAGATTGTTCACTTTAAAGTATCAGTCTCTCCTCTACAAAATATGTGAATTTTCTGTCTGAAGAAGAGTAGTCTATGTACTACGTCTTCAAAAAGCACCTTCAACCGAGGGGCAAAAATTTTTGCAATCCACCAAGTACAGAGACAATGACTCTGCATGGGGAGAAATATGTGACATAAACATGATCTCGTGCATGAACCGGAAAGAATATATTATCTACGGTCTGAGAGTAAAGAGATAGATTCCCAGCTCTCAATTTGGAATACCTTATGATGCTGCTCCTGCTGCTCTTTCGTAGAATTCTGCAGCAGAAAGCCTTTGGTGAGTGAAAGAAGAAAGATTCCGTGAAAATTAGGATTGGGAAAATGAGTACCTCACTGTCATCACTCATTGCATGTGCGAGAGCTTCAAGTACTTGAATCCTGGACTGATACTTTTCCTCACGAGCCTTGAACATATTGCTTTGCTGCAGGTAGAAAGGGGTACATGTAACCCTACAACTTACTGGATGAAAATGATCTGATAAAAGAAATGCACAGAATTATACCGTTTTTAAATGATCTGCTTGAGTAGATATTCGTCGCTCTATCTCTTGTACAACTTTTCTCAGAAGCAATGCAACCCGCTATCAAAACGGAAGCAACAAAGCAATCGCCGTCATTTTCTCATCATTATGAAGTAAAGTGAAAAAAGAAAAAAAACTGCTTATTGGATGTGCCTCCTAATTCATACTTGAGGTATCTCTCCATTCTTTCTCTCAACACTTTCGTCTAGAATCCCGTTGACAACACTTAGAAGTGATTGAGTAGGCGCATTCTGTAAAGTACAGCAATGCACATGGATCAAGTTAGGATAAAATAACAAAGTATTACAAGAACATCTAGTTGGAAAAGGTCCATTAACAATAGCAAGACCTGAGATTGAGAACGTACATCCAAACTGTTAGATTTCATCATTTCTGAAATCTTTGAAGCAGGCAGATCTGCATAGCGTCCATTCTTCAGCTGAAATACCTCATGAAACTTGTGGCCGACGTGCTGCATTAGCGCAGTTGATGGCTCTGAGTAAACGAAAATATAACTCAGGAAATAGTCACAGATGGCGTTTATTCATTTTATCACGACAATTAGCAATAACAAATTTGAGTACTGATAAATAATTCATCTTAAGGGGTAGACACGACCTCCCATCACTGGACTACGCAATGCACGTTGGAATGAAGAATGCCCTTGATTTGCTTCATCCTTATGAGCGTTATTTTTTTTCTTAAAACAGTCCCCTAATATCTTCCATCTTGTATGAACTTCACCTCCAAACTGACTGATTGAATCAGATCGTTGAAGGTCCCCGGAAGTTGACAAGAAGTCTGATCTAAGAGTTAAAAGGCATTCCAACACATTTTTCATGGATCCCTGTATTGAATAGAAGTATTAAGCATGAGAATGAGTAAAATGGAATAAGTAAAATCGAAGAAACATTCTTGGTTTACCACTTCTAGGTCTGATAACTGAAATGTGGGCAGCCCCATATTCTCCATGGCTGTCAAGAACCTTTTCACATTTTCTGACCTCAAATCTGAACTCTGAAAAGGGCCTCCATACTGCAACAAGCACATATTTACAACAACCATTAGCAAACATATCTTCTGTTGAATTTGCTGAATGATGATGTGCAAGTGAACAACACAAAACCTCGGCAACTGAACCAGGCTTCAATTTGCTTAAGATTTGGCATAATACTGTGCCATCGGCCAAGAATGCTCTTAGGTCCTCATCTGAAGCATTTATAGGCAAATTTACATGAGGAAGAAGACTGTTGAACCATTCCACCAGGATCGCCCGCTGCTTAGCTGCAAACAAACAGCATATAGATTTTAGCCCAATGGACAATGATTGGAACCAGGAATAAGGAATTTAGGGCAGATATAAACTTTCAGACCTACCATTACTCTTTGGAATCGGTTCAAACACATCACCGGTGCAAGACATGGTTAATCTCTCGAACCTACCATAATCCTCCACAAAATTTTCTAACCAAATACTAGTGTATCAAGCTGAGATTCTTCTTCTCCTTCAAACTACTATATCATCTGGAACATTTGGAGAAAAGAAGAATGTTACCAAATGTATAAACAACTTACGGCTATTGTCTCTAATAGTACAGGAAATGAAAGTATATATTTCATAAGAACTTTAAAACTCTTCTTAGCTATAGAAGACAGCAAGTAGAAACCCTATCTCTAGTCATGTTAAGAACTGCAATCTAGAAGTAAAAAAACTGCAATGTCATTGAGAGAACTACATGAAAATATCAACGATATTGGACAGCCACGTTTTACAGTGGCTTCTATCCGGAGCTAGGTCATTAAGAAAAATGCTAATACTACTATAAAGAGCATCTTTCATCCAGCTGTTTTTCGTTATTTGCCTTTGAATCCATTTCAACCTCAATTTATCTTCCCAGTTGTAACCATTCCTCAAGCAATAACAATAACCATGTTCCAGCATTATCAGAGAGAAAGACCTGAAATTTATCATTCAGCGCATTGGCACAGGAAGGACCGATTGAATTTTTATCAAGTATGAAAAAATGGAACCTGAAGAATAGCTCCCTAAAATCAAACAATGGAAGCACTGAATTTATACCCACAAATCCTATTCCAATTCACCTCTCATGGTGCAGAAAGCAAACCAAAAAAAAAAAAGGATCTTTCCCTGACCCAAAATTGCATAAAGAGAAACAGACATCAAAAAATGAAAGATCTTTCCTTGACCCAAATTCAAGTCTTTAGATTTGGACAGCAAAGAACTTGAATTCTAAATCAAAATGGACTACTAAAAGGGATCATCCTTGATCACATGCAAAAAAAAAAAAAAAAAATCAATAAAATGATACGTCAAACTAAAAGGGTCAAATCCTAAAACAGTCACTGGAAAAATGAGAACAACATCAACAACAAACCAACCTGAGAGAGAAAACTGCTGTTAGATGCATTAACACAATTTGAGTTGGCTCAATTCTTTGTATTTTTTTTTTTGTTTGTTTGTGATTAATTCCTAATGATGATGATAATGTGACCCTTAATTAGTTTCCTTTATTTTCTTTTGTTTTTTAACATTTCATTAATTTTCGGGAAAAAAATGATTAGGATTTAGCAAATTTTCAGAAGCAATTCACTACGTATTCCGTGAACTGTTGGTCTTCTACGTATGTGAGGTAAACAACCTGGTCCGTTTTCCGTTTACTTAGGAAGAAGAATAGACTCTGACTTTTCTTCTTCCATCTTCCCAATTCCATTTTTAGAAAGAGCCCGGCCATTAATCTTCTTCTCCTTTGCAGCATTTTTTTTTTCATATATATAAAAATAAAAAATTATTGATCATTTTTTATTTTTCAGACAACTAATCGGAAATCGTTCACATTTTATAGGCAGGGGAATAGGGAGAGATTTTGTGGTCTTTTTTGAAGCTACAACTTTTGCTCTTTAAGTATTTTTTTCCAATGTTTCCTTAACAATGTGTTACCAAAATTTATGTTATTCCAATCTTGGCCAGTTCATAATATGCTTCCTTAATCATGCGTCCCGAAATTAGAGTATTGTTTTGATGAATTCAAATAGTGCAGCAAATGAACTTTACTCTTTTTTTAAAAAAAAATTAAATAAATAAATAGGGGGAGTAAATTAAAGATTTTTCAAGAACTTGGTCGATCTTCTTTTTTTTTTTTTTGTAGATAAGCTATTTATTTTTATTTGCTCGAATTTAGTCACTCTAATTCACGCTTTTTGATATTGATAAATCGTAAGGATATGCATCAATAACAAAATGTTTAATTTCAAGTTTCAACCTTTATCCCTTTAGATGTTTTAGAGAGAATATCAGACGAAATTCTTTTCTTTTTTATTTTTAAATTTTGGGAGGATATATTGTATTTTTCGAAAAATCAATCAAAAACAGTTAGACATAAGAAAATAATGAGGGTGCAATCCGTCGTTGATCCTCTAAAAATGAATTTTTCTGTTAACCGATCCTGAACAAAGGTGTTTCCTATTAATTAATGCTTGAATTGAATTCATAGAGATCTCTCTATTTCGAAAAAAAATACTCCGTAATATAATCTGATACTAAAAGAAATTATAGTTTAGATGACTTATTTTTCCAAAATAAAAAATTAGTATAACAAATAGTGTAGAATATTATGTTTATTTATCCATGTTTAGATAATTAATATAAATATCATAAATCTAGCTAATTTTATATAATTTTAATTTCAGAAATTAATTGGTCTACCTTACGGAAAGAATGTATTTTACTAGATAAAATTCGAACTTTGGTGCTACAGTCACCGTAAGTCTTTGTCTACTCGCCCAAAAACAGAACATGCTAATTAGTTGATTGATTAATTGTCTAATGATAAAATCATCAGATACTAATCACCTACACTAGTTTGGATATAAAATTTCAGTTTTCCTCTTTTTATGTTCACAATCGTCCAACTAGCTGTGGTTTGAACTATTGTGAACATATTTTCTCATACGTACATGGGCTAAAGTTTCCGGATAAAGCTATGGGGTAGTATTTTACATAAGTGAAATAGTGTTTCCCCTATTTAAACTACACCTTTATGGCTTTATATGGAAACTTCACCACCCCATGTACGTATGAAATTTTACTTGTCTTAAATTAATAATCCCTTCGTCTTATAATTATTGTCTAATTTGGATTTTCATTTTTAGTTCAATTTGTACTAAAAATGAAATCTTAAACTAGACAATAATTTTGGGACAGAGGGAGTATCTCATTTGATTGATCGTATTTAAAACTTTAACAAAGTAGCTAGACGGTAAACTCCATTTATAAAATTCGTTTCCAAATAAACATAACTCTTCAGTTGCAAAACCGTTGGTAGTTTCGTTAATAGTTTTGAGCAGGAGCATCACTTGTACTTGTTAATCTATACATTAGCTAGCTCCACTCACGGGAAAAAAAAAAAAAATCAATTAATTCACGTCATCCGAATTTCGCCCTTCGAAACAAGTTGTACATTTGTAAACTTTAATTTGACGAAGGCAATATAAATAATTGTGACTTTTCGTGGAAAATTTACTGAAGACTACAATATCTTAAGCCAACGGTTTAGTTCATTACGCAATACAAATGATTGGTTTTTTTTTTTGGCTATGACTATCCATTCCAACAGGGTTCGGAAGAAATTAGTCATCAGCAAATAACAAAATCAAACCTTATGGAAATTAAGGCTCTGTTTGTTTGGTATTTTAATGGTCTTTTCAGATTATTTTAATAATAACTGTCTCATCCCAATATATTTTTTTATATTTCCAATACACCTTTTTATATTCCTTATACAAAAAACACCTAAAAACACACAAAAAAAAAACGAAACAAACATATCGAAACTATTGTTGACTGTTCTATGTCATCATATCTTTTTACATTTCCAATTAAACTAACTTTTAATTGTTGACTATTTTTTTTTCTTTTCTTTATAGTTTATTTGGGACGGTAACTACCCAAACCATTGACTTGACTAGTCTAGTTACTTTGAGTGAAAAAAAATGTTTTCTACCCTCTCCGCGTGAAAAAAAATAAAATAAATAAAAAGATATCACAGCCATCAGTCATTCGGGTAAAGAAGATTTTTATCGTGGGATGAAATTAAAGAAGACAAACTTAACGAAGGGGATCCCATTTCATCAATTTATAATGCAAGTTATTTTAAGATAATTGATCAGTGTTTAAATTCAGTATAGTATGATGAATGAAAGAGAAAGTGGCTATATATACTGAACTAAAACAGGATGATCAAGGTGAAATGCGAAAATCTGCTTAAACACGATTAGTTAGGTATATTATCACTTGGGATTCCAATCTCTGCCGACACGATTAGATCATTACTTACATTATTTAATTATTCTGAAGGAAATAAATATAAATATTGGACGATATTCCAAGAAAATGTGTAGGAAATGGTAAGGAAGAATTACAGAAATTGTGGGCAAATTGGGCTTGGAAATTTGAAAATCCTACATGCCATCTGGCATTTTAACTCCATTGGCAGCTAGTTTGCTACAAATAATTCAGATTTAATTCAATTAAATTCTAAGGACTAAACTGATATACTATTTCCACCGCAGTAATTATTTTGTGTAAAAAAATAGAGGAAAGCAGTACATTTCTGGGTTAAAGAGAAAAGGAAAAGAAAAAGGAAAAAAGAAGAAGAAGAAACGAAGCTCCAGGAAATGAGGATAAGAACGAATTCAAAAACCAGAAACCATTTTGCAAAAAGGGCGCCCACAGACACTGGCATCTAGCATACAAAACCAGTGTACGGATTCCACGAAACCAGGAATTGTCTAACCCATATGCTGCTTTTAGCCTCAACAAAACGCCTTCAACTCCAACGCGCCTCCATTTTGTCTAACCCATATGCTTACCTACCGGAGAGGGTAAAAAATTGATAAAATTGAATTGGAAAAAAATACAGAAAAAAAAGAAAAAGAGAAAAAAGTTTATGTTTGGAAGGTTTTTTTGATGGTTTTTTCAAAATAATTAAATAATAATTATCCCATCCCATCATACCTTTTTACATTTCCAATTCACATTTTTACATTCTCAATACAAAAAATATTTTAGTACAAGTTCAACGGTTCACTTGTCTATAACATGTAGTCAATATGCAATGATAATAATATAAATAAATATATATGTCCATAAAATAATTAGTTATACATATGTCCATAAGATTATTTTTCATATATTTTAGTACAAGTTCAACGGTTACACTATAACTATAACATGTAGTCGTTATGATGTTCAACAGTAAACCACCTCTGACATGCTTAGGGTGGTGTCTAGTGTGACTTAACTCTTCCTATGATTTTCAGGCTATTGCACTGAGTGTGGGTTTACCCAGCTCTAGTAGAATTCCCGACATTATAAAAAAATAATAACTAGTTATACAAAATCTAATTATTATGCCCGATCTTTTGCCCTGTCTATGAAAATTCACAATTTTATATTTATCCTTTCAAAAAAACAATTTTATATTTGCTATACATTATTCACAACAGCAAAAGAAAAAAAAAAAAAAAAAGAGAGAGCCAGAGAAGAAAAAGCAAATTTCAAATTTGTCGGAAAGAAGAGGAGTTAACAGGCGCGTGGTACAAACTTGTCTTTCCGGAAAGGCAAAAAGCTCAAAGATTATGTGGCGAGCCGCCAAGAGTCCTAAAATCTTATGTGCCGACACGTGCTGATTCTCAGCTTCCCATTGTTTTGGACCTTCTTGCATGGCACTTGTCTTTTTATTAGCCCTCTAAATTACCTCTAAATTACATACCATGCCACCACTCTCATTGTGAAGTGTGCTTCACTCTCATCCCTCGGCAGACCAAAAAAACAAAAAAAAAAAGAAAATATTGACATTGACGTTGACATTTGACGAACCTTTTGCCAATCCTGAAAGATTCTGATCAGATGCGGCTTCCAAGAGGGAGTGATTTCAAAATTACGAATTGGATTGTCAGTCATACTGCAACAAATTTCGAAATCTTAATAATAAAATTAACTAAAACCGAGTTATAACAACAAAATGCCACAAAAAAATGTAATGTTATTTCAAATGCTTACTCATAACGTTATAGAAACACAAAAATTAAACTAAGATACGGTTTCGCAATTGTCACTTGATAAATACTAGTAGATGGTATGAAATGGGAAGAGAACCCAAAAGATGAGGGCAAAATGAGAAATTCGACAAGATTTTATTGAAATTAGTGAAAAATTTCCTCCTGGACTAATTAAATACTCATAGGAAACAAACAAGCAGATTTCCAACATCCTTATAATACCATTGTCTGGGGGTGCCAAAACCACTTGCGGCTGCCCGCCCCAACCAATCCAATCCTTCTTCCTCATTTTTAAGACTCTTCTTCCTTATTAATACCAACCCTTTCTCTAACAAACATCATCATTCATTAGTAGTAGTAACAAACAAGAAACAAAGAAAGAAACCAATTTCTCAGAAATCTTTCAAAAAAAAAAAAAAAAAAACACGCAGTCACACAGTGGAGGGAGTCATGCGGATGAGTTGTAACGGATGCCGGGTTCTCCGCAAAGGCTGCAACGAGAAATGCAGCATCAGACCTTGCCTCCAGTGGATCAAATCCCCTGAAGCCCAGGGGAACGCCACCGTGTTCCTGGCCAAATTCTACGGCCGCGCCGGCCTCATCAACCTCATCAATGCCGGCCCAGACGACGATTCCCGCCCGGGGATTTTCAGATCCTTGCTCTACGAAGCTTGTGGGCGTATCGTAAACCCCGTTTACGGTGCCACCGGCTTGTTATGGTCCGGGAATTGGCATTTGTGTCAGGCCGCCGTCGAAGCCGTTCTGAATGGCTCTCCGATTTCGCCAGCTTCGGCGGATTCCGCCGCCTGTACCGTCTCTCCGCCGCTCAAGGCCTGCGACATTCGCCATGTTCCAAAAGATTCCTCCTCCGCTGGTTCCGCCGCCGCTGCCGCCGGGAGGGATTTACACAAGGTCAGGAAATCAAAGGGCAAATTCAAACGCGCCTCCGCCGCCACGGTGGGGGATAAGTCGAAATCGAAGGCGGCGGCGGCGGGGTCAATCGTCGATGTGGACGATGTTGACGAAGCGGCTCGAGTCATGTGGGGTTGGTCACACAAAGAGGCAGTTCGATCGCCGAGCCGCGACTCGGGATTGAGCCAGCATGTGGAGGAGGAAGGTGGTCGGAGCCGAGCCGGGGACAGCGGGGATGCTGACACTGACAGTGGTTCCGGGGAGACAGTGGAAGCCGAGCTGGCTAATAGTAAGCCGGAAGAGTCAGCCGAGGGAAGCGAAGTTGAGTTGGAGCTGACTCTTGGACTGGAGCCCAGACAGTGGAAAGCGGGGCCCGAGTTAAGAATGGATTAATGTAAAGGATTTTCAAAAACTAATGGATTTAAGAGTGGGGAATTAATTAACAGTGGGTTGAAGACTTGTTTTAAGTCAGTCAAAAGAGTAGTTAAAGAGTGGAGATCAATTTCTGGAGGAGGCGGACCCCACCTACGATGAAGGAGATAAGATAAGGCTTTAGTTTTGGCGGCTTGTGAATTGGGGTGAAAGATCAACTTCACTTGCAAACTTATTTTTTGTTTTTTTTTTTTAAAGTAGTAGTAGTGGGGCGCTTTTGTTTTGTGTAAGTTTGAAGACTAGAATGAGGTGTTCTTTTGGGGGTTAGCTTGGAGGTAGTAGTAGTATTTTGCCTCTTTTTGCCATTTCGTTGAGAATGTACATTTTTCTAACGATGAGTAAAAAATTGTCTGACATTATTATGGTAAAAATGGCCTTCGATTAAGATGATGAAGCGATAGAATTTGAATCCTGATTGTCATTTTCACGTCCTATATCTTAATTGGGCCACATGGATTATCATTTTTCTTTCTACGTATAATAATAGTCCTCCCTCTGTCCTATAATTATTGTCCGGTTTGGATTTTCACTTTTATACAATTCGAACTAAAAATGAAAACTCAAACAGGGACAATAATTATGGGACGGAGGGAGTACATGAAAGCTTACCTCAAATAAAAATCAATCCGTGCGCCCATTGCGAGATAATGGTTCGGTTCCTACCGGAAACCATGGAAGTAGGCTGCTGTAAATGAAATAACTTGGGTATGCAAAATTGATTGTTGGATTCATATTGTTAACCATGAAAGTAGGCAGCTCGCAGAGGAAATAAGTAAGTCCTCCACGCCAGCCAAAGTTTTTCCTTTTCATTTTTACTCACTCTCCTTCATTTTGGTGACTTCTTTGGCCTTTATGAAATAAATCACCCGAATAAGTCCAAAAAAATTTCTGTTCGCTAAACAAAATCTTAACTTATCTTCCTACATGACGAAAAAAAAAAGAAAAAAAGAACATTAATGAATCATTTCGGCCGTATTTGCAAACAATTCTCTGTTCGACTTGTTTTGAGTAGTTGACAAAAGGGTTAATTAACTATTTCGTCGGCTTTTTCATCAACTTTGACAAGTCGACGACAAGCAAAGTTTTTCCTTTTTCTTCTTCTGTTTTGTTGGTGACTCTTTCTTCCTTTTATCATAATCTTTCTTGTTAAATTAAACATCATCATAGTTCCAAAAATTTTTAGTATGCCAAACAAAATCACAATTCATCTTTTCTACCAAAAAAACAAAAAATAAAAAAATAATCACATTTCATCCCCCTTGCGAGTTACACGTACCTTTTTAGCATGTTATCATGATTTTGCTTCACAAACTTACAAGTTACAAGTCACGTATGGATATAGGTGGAGAAAAAGGAGTAAATTATGGTATGTTTATAGATGTACTGGGAGAAAATAGATCGAATCCAAGATGAATAATGCTTAACGTTGGAGGAAATGCAACCAATTGAACCTCAAGAAGCATACGATGTCATATAAATGAATCAAGAAGGCAATACCGTCGCTCGAGATTAACTTACCAACTTAATATAAAGGTAAGGTGTTTCCATTTTTTACCAACTAATGTGTTTCCATAATCACCATATCGTTCTTCTTTTTAATAAAAAACAAGTTGGAAAATCTTTGGATCACTATGAACTTTGCGAGGAAAAAAGATAAAACAATTTCTGTTTGAGTTTGGACTCTATTTTAAGGGTTGTCTTAGGATCAAGAGCCAATTTCTCTACTTACAAGCAAAAATGATACATTTTTTTTTCCTTAACAAACTTTTATGTTCATACATAACGGAGTTACATATAATAATATAATAAGAGAAATCACCGATTTAACTCATCGACGAGCATTTCCTACCATAGACCTATCTACTTCTTCGAACACCCGTTTTCCTTGTATCACTAAATTATACTATTAAATATATTTTTTTTTAATCTGTAATGAGACATGAAAATGCCGTTTGGACTTAGTGGACCAAAACTTTAGGGTTGAGTCCAAAAACCAAAATTAATCTAGCTAGATTTCCATTAATATGGCTTATTAAGTACTCTTGTCTATGTTTTGAAAAATTTGGACCATACAAATTTCTACGATCGGGCTTTGAAATCTGGTTGATACTAAGAAATTGCATCCAAATGCGTACCAAACTACTATTGGAAATAACCTGTAGATGGTTATAGTACAAGTAGTTTGAATCACAAATTTTTGGAAAGCAATACAATTCACATTTTACCTAAAAAAAAAAATAATTTCAATCAACTTCGATGTAATATACGTTCTCGCCTCATAAAAATTGTTTATATTATTTAAACTATACAATTTTTAGTACAGTTTATAAATCCAGTTATATATATTTTTTTTCGAGATAGAGAGTATGTAATATTTAATTATCTTATAGGCTTGGGTCCAATTCAAAAATGATATATTTTAATAGTTGGATCATTGGATGAACTCCACCAGATTTTAGTCAATGAAAATTTCCTTATTTTCAAAAAATTAATTTAAAAAAAAAACACTTTTTATAAAAAAAAATTCCGGAAAAATTGTCCAAACTTGGTCAGACAGTCCATCACCACCGAATTTGGCTGAACACCTAATAAATGAGCCCAAATGAATGAGCCCAAGAAGGAAGATCACCAGTTCAGCTACATTTGTTCAGTTCTTACTGCTTCAGTCGCAGAGAGAAAAATCGGAGAAATCAATAAGCAAAGGCCAAAAGCAAAAAAAATGGGGAGGAAGAAGGGAGTGGTGTTCGATGAAGGAGCTCCAGATGATTTCGACCCGGAGAACCCGTACAAGGACCCGGTTGCCATGCTGGAGATGAGGGAACATATTGTCCGGGAGAAATGGATCCAAATCGAGAAGGCCAAGATCCTCCGTGAGCGGGTCAAATGGTGCTACCGGGTCGAAGGCGTTAATCACCTTCAGAAATGCCGCCACCTCGTTCATCAGTATCTTGAATCCACTCGTGGTGTTGGTTGGGGCAAAGACCATCGCCCCCCTTCTCTTCACGGTTCGATTTCCATTTTCATGTTTTTTGGGCCCCGATATCATTTCTATTTTCTTTTAGGATGTTTTTGTTTTGATTCTTTTCTTTATGATTATTGATTGTATCAACCCTTTTGGTAACTGCAGAGCCTAAGGCGGAGGTTGAAGCTGCAGAGTGACTGTTGGGTCTTGAATAATTTGAGGTATTTTGGGTTGGGGTTTGATAAATGTTTCTGTTTGCCGTCTGATGTTTGTTTGGTATTTGATCAATTTTCTGTCTGCTAGTTCAATTGTTCGGTGATTTTTGGTATGCTGGTTCTTATGCTGTTTTGGAGAATCTGCTTTCGCTCACCTAGGATAGGATTTCATCAAAATTTGGTCTTTTTTATATCATTAATGGAAATTGGCTTTGAGAGAAGGCATTTTACTAGACTAGAAGAATCTGCTCTGAATTAGATATCTGAAATTCGTCCTTTCGTATAATTACCTCAGTCCTAATGATACTCTCCAGTCTTGTAAGGTTACAACTTGTTAAGAATTTTTGGTGTAATGCATCTGAGCTGTATGCTACCAGAAATTTCACCTGCATAGTGAGAATTAATAAGGAAATCAGTTCAAGCAGCCCACTTTTTATTTGGACTAAGAATAAAGCAGAAAGTGGTCTTAAGTGTACAACCTTTTAAGAATTTTAGTTTTAATGCATTTGAGCTGTATGCTATGAGAAATTTCACCTGTATAATAAGGATTAATGAGGAAAACAGTTGAAAGCAGACCACTTCTTATTTGGACTAAGCATAAAGCAGAAAGTGCTTAGACTTTGAAACAGAGGAGGTCTCATGGCTTCGTCTGGTTCCTTTGAATGGCACCGAGGGCTTTCAGCTTTCTTGCTTAGACTTTGAAACAGAGGAGGTCTCATGTCCATCTAGTACTGGTATAAGAACTTTCTTGCACGGCATTATGCAGATCATTGTATCTTTCCTTTTTCAATGTTTGTTTTTTTATTTCATCATTTGACAGCTAACTAATGTGATCGTTTTGTTTAACTTTTTTGAAGATCAAACTATGCCTGTTACATAAATTTTGTGAAAGATGGTGGCTTCGTGTACTTTAAACGACAGTAACTATTATTAATTGAATTCAAATTCTCATGGTATGTGGACTAGGTTGATGTTCAAGTGTTTTGACTAGTTGTTTCTCAATTACATGGCTTCATTGTATTCATTCCAAAAACAAATTAATGGTTAAGTTATGTGGCGCTAACTGTACTGATACGTGGGATGGGTGGTGTTTTTCATTTGGAATACTTCTGTATCTTTTGATGTTATCTTGTGAAAACTAGTATTTCTTGCCTTCTTTCTATCTTATGCCTGATCCCTGGTTTTGTATCCCTAAGATTTTTTTTCATGGCTTAATATTAGCACAAAAAATTTTCTGTACCTTTTTTTTTTTCGTGCATATTTTCTGTACCTTACTTATAAGTTCATCTTCAATGGCTTATATTTTTCGTTTTCCATGCCTCTCTTGGGTTCTATATCATAGTTTCCTTGGTTTTTGGTGGGAATCGGCTCTCTATGGCTGGTGCATTTTATTCTATATCGTTGCTTTAGTGACTCTGCATTCTTTGGATGGGGCTACTTTAGGTGCACCGATGAGTAATGAACTTATACCGAGCTGCAGTTTGTTGGGATTGAGTTTTTTACAGCTTAAAAATTAATGATTTGTACTCCGTTGCACTGCTTTAAGACATCAAGTCTCAAAGGAGCATTGAAATCTTGTTTCTCTCTTTTTGGTTGCAGATTATAGATTTTCTTTCAATGGATAGAAGATGTATAAAGTGAAGAGAAGTCGAGGCTTGTGGATCAACCTTTATGATTGTGTTGGTTTTATTTGTTTTTGTTGTATTTGAGGCCTTTGATATCTTCACACTTAATCTGTATTCAACAACCAATCTAGATTGGATTTGGATTTTGAACTTTTTGTTCTTGCCTTGCCCTATGGGCTGCTAACTTGGAATTTGAATGAAATGAATGAGTGGACAGATCCTAGTACAAGCAATAAACATTACACCTGGTGATGATGGCATTTCGTCGATTTATTTGAGATTTTTGAGTTTGTGTATATTGTCTTCAATTTCATTAGTTTCAGTGGTTCTTGTTATTTGCATCATCAGTTTACAGTTCGGTCTTCCCATATTGAAAGGCTAGAACTAGTGTAGTTCTGTTGATTGCTGTTTATTCTTTTCTCATTTGGGAGTTGAGACTGTAATATTCTAGAAATCAGCTGGGTTACGACAGCCAATCGGATGCTTGAATTTGCTACATGAATGAAACCATGGAGACTACAATATCATAGGCATCTATGACCATGAAAAAAAAAAAAAAATTGAAGTCTTTAAACTCAGAAAGAAGTTGCAGTTGTAGGATATGAGAAGTCAACTGGAGTGTTCATTTCATTTTGGTTTATTGTATTCGTTTACATGTTCAAATCTCGTATAATGTCCGGATGATGCGTCTTTGTAGGTGAACCATCTAACCATGCTGGTACCCTTCCTTATTCTAAAACAGATTAGGCACAATCATGAGGATTCAGATACTACCATAGAACAAAGCGGTAGTTGCTTGAGATTCGATTACACTGGTAATTTCATTAGATACATCATACATCACTTAAAGCCACCGGTGTAGAAGCAAACACCAGCAGGAAGGCAAGAACATCCACGTAGAAGCAAAACACCTCAGGATTAGCCAAGAAACAATCCACGCCTGATCCAAAAGCTCCATAGGCAGCATCACACTTTGTGATCAACATAAGATACTCCTTTCCACACACCGATCTGTAAATTCAAAAAAATAAAATAAATTTCACAAAAGAAAAAAAATCCCAACAAATGTGCATGAATGAAAAGCAAAGAAATGAGGATGCATCATTATCCATGGAGTCTGAGAATTGGATTTCAGAAGTGGAAAAAGCCAAAAAGGGAGCTCCCTTCAGTCCAACTAGCAGGTGAAGTGGGCGGAAAGAGATGGTATGCTCCCACACCATGCATTGGTCGAAATACTTAAACATTGTATCTTTGCCCGAAGATCCTGCATATCTCTCTCTTATAGTTGGACCATTAAAACTAAGAAATGGAAATCTAATGAAACTGAAATGTTTTAAGCATTAACCAAATGCATGAGATGGCAGCTCATTCCGCCACTCAACCCACGATATTGGACTGAAGGAAGCTCCTCCTAAAGTTATTTACTACTCTCTCTATCTGTCTATCTACTTTGATTTTGTGTATTTGGAGAATGCTTTGAAAAGCTGAGATTTTATGATTATGCTCCGCTCCCTTTTGCTCTCTTATCTATATATAGAGGACTGAGGTGCGAGTCCGTTACAAAATGGCCTTCAAGTGTTAAGAGATGATGTTTCATCAATCTAGTTCCTCGATACACACGACGTTAGCTAATCGACAAGTTATACTTATACCAAAGCAACTCATCAACGTGGGTTGTGATTTGTGTACTCGTTGAATTCGTGTTAATGTAATGTAACTCTAAGCCGTTACGCTACTCTCGGATTCGAGTAATTAACAATTGGTATTCAATGTGTTGTTGTTTGCTTTTCTTTCTTTTTTTTTCTTTTTCTTTCCTCGGGATATATATTTTAATCTAATTTTTTTCGTTCTCGATATAAAAATGAAAGAACATTTGAAACACAGGAAGAACTTTTAACTGATAACTTTAACCGGCGTTAAAAATGAAATCCGTATGCTATCATAAATCACAATTATAACTTTTCAAAAGGATCAATAATAACACATTGAGTTCGTGTTTGAGAAAAAGAAAAGCATACAACAACACGTTGAATCCGTTATGCTACTATCGGATTCGAGTCATCAACAATTTGGTTTTTTTTTTTTTTTCAAACACGGGGCCAATGTGTTGATGTTTGCTTTTCTTTTCTTTTTTTTTTCCTTTTTCTTTTCTAGAGATGTTTTAATTTATTTTTGTATGTTCCCAATACAGAAAAGAAAATACATTACAAACAGAGTAAGATATTTTAACTGATAAATTTAACAGACTTTAAAAATGAAATCCAGAAGTTATCAGGAATCACAATATTGTAACTTCTGATAAGGATCACCGGGTCGAATAGAGGACACTCTAAGTAGTGTATTAAATAGTTTGGATTATGATATCTTATTGCAGACGTGCAAAAATAAAGGGGAAAACAAATCTCATATGTAATGAGCAAAACTTATGTTACATAGTAATAATAAGCAAAATCAATTAAGCACAAATAGGCTATTACCACTATATATGTATGTGATACCAAACCCCTTTCTTTTTTACATGGCCGTTATTGATCACACCATACATAATTGTTTCCCTTCTAAACCGCACACCAAGACATTGTTCTCATTTCTTAATTCTCGCAAGTAATTATACTAGAGCAATATCCCATTCCTACTACCATTCACCATTATGGTGAGACGATTTCTTAATATAAGGCATTTTGATTTGTCCTAAATTTAATTTAATACGCATTTTTAATTGACGAGAAAACCTTAAAAATATATTTTCACATTCGTTGTATTCTTTTGATTGTTATGAAATATTTTTAAGGTTTTTTTGTCAATTAAAAATGCGTATCAGGTGAAACCTATGACAAATCAAAATGTCTTATATTAAGGATCGAAGAGAATACTTGCTAGTAATTATACTAAAGCAATATGCAATTCCTACTACCATACCCCATTATGGGGAGACGATTTCTTAGCAAGAAAATATTATATGGTGTGCTAACTGAACGAACACAGAATCGCGTCTATTATATAATTACTTTGATTCCGATATGATATTGGGACAAAACAAATACGAGAAGGCCGTGACAGAATATATTAGAGTTTATCCAAGATCTTTGACTGGATCTAGCCGTTCAGCTTCATTCACATGAGATCGCTCTAGCTAGGCTACACCAACCGTACAAAAGAAACCCTAAAGATTCCTGCAAACGAATGTATGGTAGCTCTGATCACCTTCAAATCCTACCCCCAATTTCCAGTTCATCCACCTGAAGTGCCACTTGCCAGCAGCTCAGCAACTCGGCAGTCAAATTATCCACCAAAAGACAAAATATGAATAGCACGCTCGATCGTGAACGAACTACTTCTACTGATCGATTTGTAGTTTTTCTTAAGATAGTTTAAGGATATTTACCATCGACAACTGTTACTAGTAGTTCTCATCTTTGAAGACAGTATAAATTTAGAATTTACATGGAGATGTTACTATGTTATTATGTATAATCCTAGATATGGATATTTTGGATTAGGTTGGTTTTAATAGTCCCCCGTCCCAAAATTATTGTCCAGTTTGTATTTTCATTTTTATTTCAAATTGTACTAAAATTGAATCTCAAACTAGACAATAATACTGGGATAGAGAGAATACATCTCATCATCAGGATTCAAGATACTTAGGAAACGCCCAGATGGAGTGAATGAGATCCATGAAAGAAGAGAGGGCCCTGAGTCCTCTCCCTGACCATTTTTCCCAGAGTTGAGTGACAATTCGAGACCTGATGATGGCAACCCCCATGACTCTAGTATTTGTCCTCCATCTATTCAAACTTTCCATGCATGATTCGGATTCTCCAACGTTAGCCAGCTTCTTTCATTTTCTTTTCCTTGATTTCTCGAAGCCTCTCTAACTAGCTCCCTTAGTCTTTTCTTTTGGGTGATAAATTAAACTTGTCCTCGAGAGTAGAAATTCTGCCCATGTTGTGTGCTTAAAGGAGTTTTAAATTGTACTCTCTCTGACTCTAATAGTCTAATTATAAAATGCACATCAAAATTATTAGGTTTAAATTAATTTGTACGTTATCATAGTGTTAATCATGAGAAAAAGATTAATTTGAGTGTGATAATTGTGTCTAAACTAAGATTAGTACTTCATGATTTTTGTACCACTCTCGCTTTTCCAACCAAAAAAAAAAAAAAGTAATGTACATTATTTTGAAATTTATAATTTGTTAACCGATCATCAAATGCATTGCGCCAATCACCAATGTACTTTCTGTGCCAAAAATTTTTTTTAGTAAGAATTTTGAACTATTGCTGCATGCTTCTAAGATCTAAAGTGCTACTTTTTACAGCTTATTTGTCAATTGGACACAGTTTCTGGGATTACATTATGTACGTACATGAGTAGGGTTCTACTCCCAACATATGCAGTTTCGTTTATGAAAAATGAACAGTTCTTTTGAAGTGCCTGAGAAAACTTCCGTGGAAAATGGCGTATGATAGAGTTTCATCTCGAATTGGTTCATGTTATTAGACAACGAAAAACTTGTACATATGACTTGATGTTTCTTTAAAATTATCACTTCATCTGTCTCAAAATATTTTATCGAATGTGAGATGTGAACTAAAAATAAAATTTTAAATTAAATAATTATTTGGGACGGAGAGAGTAATTAGTTTATTTAAGTTACTCAAATCTAAAATCATCATAACATAAAAGAACACATTACCCATACAATAAAAAGAATCATATTTGTATTAAGTTAATTATGAACTACTCCCTCCGATGCATAGAGAAGGTGGAATCATAAGGGCCAAGGTGAAAAGAGTTGAAGAAATTATGAAGATGGACTAAGGTCCCAGATATCAATACCGATCGATATTGACCGATTCAAGTACAATCTTCTCAGTCTAAAAACCATATCACATTCCTCTCTGGATTCAAGTACAATATCGATCGATATCGACCGATTCAAGTACAATCTTCTCAGTCTAAAAACCATAACACATTCAAGTACAATCTTCCCAACAGTACATTTTTTTTTCCTCTCTGGATTTTTGGCCTATTAAAACGGCTTCTTTTTTGATACGTTTTATTTTATTTTATTTTATTTTATTCAGATGCAAATATCTAACTCTGGAAAAAATCTCCCATCTATAAGTTTTATGGTAAAAATAACCAAAAATTGACTCAATGATACATCAAGTTGGAAAACAGTGGCCATATATGGTGTGGCTTTTGCCATGGATACATATAATTAAATAAACTAATTAGAAAAAATGTGACACAATTAGTTACGGGTTACGTATCACTCTCCAATCATTTCTATAAGGTAGTACATTTAAATTAAATGAACGAAAGGCATGTTTGATAACACCAATTATTGTTTAAAATTATTCCATTAACCACTTTTTGGTTTCAGCATGTTTGATAATAAAAACTGAACCTCTTAATTAATTAAGTGGTGCTGAAATTGCAATATAAAATATAAGTAATAAAATTTAGCTTATTACTTATTGTCTAACTACTTAGTGAATTCAGTATTTCTAATTCAATATTAAACATTAAATTTTATCAAACAGGTCGCGGATGAAAAGTAAGTATTCATTTTCCATTTTTATCGTCCTTCTTGTTCATGATGTTTTTTATCTTCTTTTTTTTTTCCTCTTTGTTTAGTAAAAATAGTGTACATTTTCATTTTCAGATGGAGAAAATACTCGATAAAAGTGCTCAAAAATATTAAGGATATGTTGAGAAGAAACAGACCACAGATGTCTTACGCTCTTCTTGGCTTATTTTAATTGTTCATTTCATTATATTATTTTTATTTATATAGATTTAGTAATATTGTCAATTCATTTTTGTAATTTTTTTATATAAAAAAAATTCAGATGAACTCTCTGCACTTTTTGATTTTTGTTGGGAGTAGGGTAGATGACAATAATATTGTCAATTCATAATTTCGTGGGCTTACTGACAGTCGGCCCACTGTGGTGTCCGATTTTGTTTCAAAGCCAACATCAACAGGCCCACAACCCATCATGCATCAGGTACTGCAACTTTTTACTAGCAAATTGGGAGAGAACATGGGGCAACTTGTTACAGTGAAACAATGAAAACGAAATGTCAACGTCAGGATCCCAGATGTGAAATTCCGCCATTTTCTGTTAGCTAGTTTTTTTGGAGCTTCTGGGTCCAACCATAGTTGGAAAGTTTCCCATTATGGACCTTATTTTTCGTCAGAATTTATACTTCCTCCGTCCCTAAAAAAATAATTCACATTGAGTCTTGAGATTTGTATTAATTTTAGTACAAATTTGAAAACTCAAGGGAAACTATTTTTTTGGGATGGAGGTAGCACCAATTTTTTAGCACTAAAATAGTTACCAATTATCGGAGATAGTCTTGCGAGACAAAATGTTTACATGTGCAAAAGGTGTCAATGATCACTATGAGACTGACTGAATCAATCATCTTTTCTATCATTAAGGTTGAGACTTTAACCAGAACTTTGTGTTCTTTAACACCAAAGTTGAATTAATGAATACATCAACTCATTTCATTTGTGAGATATGACCCGATGATAAAATCGTAAGAGGTATTCATGGGCTATTTCGTTGTAAATTCAAGGTAGGAAGGCTTATGCATACCATTGAAGAGATTTTCAAAGTGTAACTGTAACCTATATACAATACTCAATGATGTGAATGGCTGAATGGCAGAGTGTTTGAATCATTTTCCGCAGTATTTGGTATGTCACCTATATACAATACTACTCAATAATGTGAGTTTAAACTTGTTACCATAACTTAGAGACGAGACTAAAAAATTCAGTTATCGTAGCAATTACTAATTTTAGTAGGGAGAGCTTGTTCAAATGTATTTATAGTTATTTTGAAGTTTGTTGCTTGCTTCTAAACTGAAACTTTACCGCCCTTTCGTCAATAGCTACACCTCATGAATAGAAGGAATTGAAGTACACGAGGAGAGTTCTACTTCGAACGAATGCCTTGTTAATGGACAATGGAGTTGTGAAATTTCTATGTAAACATGAAGGCATTGAAGATTGTAATGGAAAATGGCATAGCCAATGTTAGAAAGTCTACCCACATTGCGTTCACTACACAGTGAATTAGCACTCCTTAATCTTGTACGCCGTTACACCATTATCAACTGGTATTAAGTTTGATAGATGGCGTATTGATTAATTTCAACACTCATATATAGAAAATCATTCAGATTATCATAATAAAGTCAACAGCCAAAACATTGACTCTACCATACATTACATGATTACATACAGAGAAAATTGCTAGATACTAGTAGACATGGCGATATCGTGTAATATCGCCATGGATATATAATAACTACATTAAGAATTAGGCCTAATTTTTGCATGATTAGTCTTATTTGTTCTTGTTCATCAGGTAACTTGGGAAAGTCGACGACGGCGGCCCTGCAAATGATGTCCTCTTTACAAATCGTCCTTTCATCCGAGGTCTCTTTTCAGCGTTCAGTTTCCTAACTTCGTACCGAATCTTCTTGGAGAACAACCTTGTTCTTCTCTTCTCCCTATACCTTAGTACTCTTGCTTCTCTTTCTTCGTCTCGTCCACCTATTCTCCTTCCTCCATCTCCAAATGGTTGATGGTGAAGTTCCCTAGGGCTAATATCCTGAAAAAAAAAAAAAGAATTAGAAACATATACATTATTAGTTTCTTCGCGTCAACAAAATACTAATTAGTTTTGAGTTAGATACACGTAGATTAATAATAAAACAAGTTCTCCCTCTGTCCACTTTATATTTTCATTATTAGTCCAATTTAAATTAAAACTGAAAATTCAGACTAAACAATAATTTCGGGTCGAAGAAATAATAATATAGTTACCATGAAATCGGGCCAACAGTCGTCGGGAATGAACTCCGGTTTTCTTCCATCAGCCCATGGAGAACCTTGGCTAGCCCAAGCAGTGATGACTGTTTCATAGTTGAGCTTTAAGAGCTTCATCCTCCTTTGTTCTTTACTTTCATTGTTATCCTCCTTCATTAATATTGGAGCCATTTGATCATTTGCTTTCAAAACCTTAAACTCTTCTTCTTCTTCCTCTTCTTCTTCTCCAGGCAATGGAGATGAGGAGTACTGGAAATCCCAACACAAAGATTCCCTAGCCATATCTAAAGCTGGATCGAAATGACAAGCTATAACTGCTTGTACTTCTGCGCCATCCTGATCATCGTCATCTTCAACTTTCACTAATCTTCTTTGATCTTCTTCAAAACAAACATCTAACTGATTAAGATTAATATTAAGATTACCTTCCTCCGCTACTTTTCCTTCCAACCCATCATCAAACTCTTCATTAATCCCTAACAAGCTTTCAACATCAGCAGCAAACTCAGCAAGTTCAGCATCTGAAGCAATGAAATCTGGAATTTCCAAATCGTGATGATCATCATCAAACAAAAGACTGAGTTGTTGTTGATCGTCATCGTTCAACTCAGCAGCAGAAGAAGAAAAGGGTTCATCATTAAAAACCGGAACCCGACAAAGAATCTGCTCTTCACTTTCATCATCAGGAGAAGCTAACTCATCATCACCACTCATCTCCGGGACTAAAGGGTGCGAGTTATTTGCCTCCGCGGCCGCGACCTTGGCCGGAGGCTTGGTATAACCTCTCGGAGTCCGGGCCTTACGGGTGAACCACGTCGGCGGCCCAACAACATTGTTTTCTTCGTCATCAACAACAAACTTGGCTAAATCGGAGACCCGAAAAGACGACGCCGTTTCGAGACGAACCCGTTCGTGTCGACTCGCCAACTGATTAGCGGAATGAACAAATGTATCGCAAGCTTGACAAAGGAAAGCATCATCAGCGGCACAAAACCATCTTGCCCTTTTCTTTAAGCAGCTATCACAAGCTCTTGCTGTTTTTCCTCCTAATGCATTCGCTGCTTTCCCTTCTGCAATCATCTTTCTTTTTCAGACGGCGATGATTACAGAAGGAAGCAAAGACGCAAAAAATGAAAATCTAAATCGAACAACTCTCGAAACCGAACTAACTGTTTGAGAAGAAGGCCTTTTTTGGTTATGGTTTTGGTGCATGAAATGAAAATTTTTATTGTGTATTCTTTTTTAGTACTATTTATGTGTTGGAGTTTTGGACCAGGCAAATACTTATATAAAGTAAAGGAACTATAGCGGGACTGAGTTTATGCAATAATACAAAGGAAATGACCCTACAAAACAGGCGCTTTTACTCTTGCAATGTGTTACATAATTTTTTTTTGGCCCATGCAGCACTTTTCTTGGCTGTTTTCTACAGTGAGAAGAAGAAGAAGATGAAGATTAAGGCGATGAGTTTAGGAAGAAAGGGGGTTAAGGATTTTAGGGACCCTACAGCTTATTGCTTATCTGACTGTTGATTGGCTAAAGATAAGAAGTCAATCTTCAACCCTGGTTTCTGATTGGTTGTGTGTCAGTATTAGGGATTTTCCTTGTGGGCCCCGGAAGGAGGGGTGGTGTGGGTAGCTAGCCCCACAAATTAATACAGAAGAAAGGGCTTCCATTGTTTCTTCGATGTTCTAAGGGTTATGGATTTATTTACGTTAGCCATGATTGAGTTAGACATTTTCTTTTGGTGTTTTTTGCCTTTGTGGTTCAATTATTCTTCTCTCATGCATAACTTCAAACAACCTCTTACTGTGGTCCTTATGTATACGTTGCTTTCGAAATTTCCATGTCTTCACTCCCTACTTTTACTAATTACTAGGTTATTGTAGATGGCTTTGTTTATAGAATCATATCATCATGGAACTTTGATCGTATGTGAAACTAAAAGTAAGGAAACTAGTATAACCCTAATACTGTAGTTTTGGCCTTTTTGGATTTGTTTATATGGCATGTATCCACTATTGAGGGAGTTTTAGTAAAAAGACACTCACACACACACATATATATAGGCAGATAGTTGCGTTTTTTCTTTTACCCTTTCATTTTTTGCTAACCGTCATGTACCCCAAAAAAAAGGGGAATGATGGAGAGAACTGATCAGAAGGAACCGTCATGTATTAGAGTTTGCACTTTAAAATGGACGACGTGAGTTCTTGGAAATTAATTTTTCAGTTAATTGTCTAGTATCTGTAGCTACGAGCAGAATGAGTATTAATTTTCAAAAAGTTGTTCAATGCATTACCTAAATTGTAGTTCGACCGCGATTAGATTACAACATAATCAGTCGATCTAGTTGAAAATGTGTCTTATGCATTTTCTATCCTTCTTTGTCCAGGAAAAAAAATTATACAATGCAAATAACGAAAGTTAAGATTTTGCTTAGTACCTTTTTATGGGATAGAATGATTTTCCAATTCAGACTTTTACTTTCAGTGTAATTTATACTATAAATAAAATGGAATTAGACTATCATTTGAGGAGGGAAGGAGTATATAATTCATCACTACATGAGGAAGGAATCTATTAGCATTTACCAACACTATATGAGCAATCAAAGTTTTTTTTTTTTTTTTTTTTTGGGTTTTTAAAGGAATGTGATCGCAAGGACGAAATTTCAAAAAGAATTACTTTTGGTTTAGGAAGAAACAATTCGTTAGAGGGTGGTGATAATCTTTGCGGTTTATTTGTAACTACTATGTAAATTTTAGTTTGACAATGCACGCAAAAACGTTTTGTGCAGTATATATGAAATGTTAAGTAGAATGCATTCTAAACAAGCTTTAAACTCACGTAGTACTTCATGGTTACAATTTATGAATTATGTTTTTTTGTACAAATCCAAGGTTACAATATATACCATTTTTGTTGGATGGAGAAAGAAAAATATTTTAGAATATCCTACTATATTAGAAACAAAAACCTCCCTTTCAAACACCTCATATGATTGCCACGTGGCATATAGAAAGTACTAAATTGCCCTTTTGTCTAAACCATAACTAAATTACTAAATCTCTCTTTGCACTTTACGTGACACGTTTTTTTTAAAAAGAAATTTTTCTTTATGTTTTATTCATTTAGAGTGATTTTTTAAGTTAAATTGATCAATTAGGTTTTTGTTACAAAGTGTCAATTTTGTTTTAAGCGTATACCCTGCGGATGAAGCTTATTACAAAGTTATTAAAAATCTCCAAAACTAAGTATTGATTTGGCACGACCGAACATCAATAAATCATCTTACTAATATTTAAATTTATTAGGATGCTTTTATATTTTATCTAACATTTACTTCAATATATATATTCGATTAAGGCTATTTATATTTAATAAGTAACACTTATAAAATATTTCTATAACTTACATGGTGAAATACAATTTCTTTTTTTTTTTTGTGAAATACAATTATTTCTATGATCACACTTATAAAACATTTCTAAATCCTTCAAACATTTCTAAAATATATCGCTCCAAATACAAAATTTTATTTTTTTTCAAATATAAATATTTCTAAGATTTACAGATAGACTGGGCCAGAGTTGCGCATTGCACGACCAGACATCACTAGTACTAAAAAGTGTGAACACATCTAGTTGAATGTTTTTCTTCACATTATTAATAGATAATGGGAGTGCTCACGTACGGGACTAAAATTGGGATAATACTAGGATATTTTCGTTTTCGCTCGTTAATTATCAATGAAATATTTTTTTAGTGTAATAGTAGCAATATATTTTATTAAGGTAAAAGACAAGCATCCTTCCCTTGCTAACAAATGAAAGAAAATGAATAAGGCGTACAGCTAACCAAAAACTGCAAGAATAATAGTCTTGCCGTCAACGAATTAGAAGCATAAAGAAATAAAAAAAAAATAATTCAATTAAATTAAAAATAAGGTTGTCCAATAGCACTCAATTTTCTTTTCCCCTTTCTAAAATGATTTCTTTTGGTTGGAACTTTAATTAACTAAATGGGGAACAAAAAGTAGGGGAATGATTGAAAATGCGAAATATGTATCAAATCATGTCTTATTGAGAAATTTTAATTAACTTATTCTTAACCACTCTCTCATTCTATCTCAAAATATTTATCCTGATTGTTGTAACTAACATAGACATTTTGGGGCAGGAGCATTTCTTCATATCAATTCTTCTCCAATGCATCAGCAAGTTATTATAATGACCTGCAAACTATGGACCATAAAGTTAAGCATAATTGAGTTAAAAAAAAAAAAATTGTTCGTACCTCAATAACCACAAAAAAAAAAAAAAAAAACAAAAGAAAACAAAGGAAAACGGGATCAGAACCACAATTTTCCGCTTCAAACAAGAAAAAACCAAAATAATTGCCTTCAATGTAGGGAAGAAAAGACTAAAAAGTACTGCTGCTAAAATTAGTGGCTTTGCTTTCGTTAATCTTTTTTGTGGTTTCCGTCCGCTATTGTTCCTCCGACACAAAAACTTGTCACTGCTTGTGAGGTTTTATTTTAATTCCCTGTGTGGTGATTATTTTACAGTATTGCAATTGAAATTATACAATCGATTGTTTAATCAAATAAATATAAAAATTAATTAAGTATGTGGCCGAATATTGTCTGGTTTCGTTAACTCCTTCAAATAATAGATCCAGAGTCAGCATAGAATGTATGACCATCCCCAATAGGTTATTTTGTAGCTGGAATATGACCTTGTGGGCACGAAATGTGTTTAATTTAGAATCTTACGCACTGTATCTACTTTGTAGTAAATAGAAATGAAACAAAGAAAGATGGTTTTTTTTCATAGAAAGTACAAAGCAAATTAACTGTATTTTTTTTTAGAAAAAAAAAAGTCATGGTACCAATATTCAAAACATTTCCTAAACTTTATACCAAGAACAATAATCTATTTCTGGTATTTAGAAATTATCCATAATCATACCCCCCCCCCCCCAACCATTTTTTTAACATCAGTAAAGGGATTGCCATATTTCTTAAACTATTTTAGTGTTTTTTTTTGTTGGACAAGAACCAACTTACAAGTGCCTATACCAGTTTAATTCAATGTAAATATTTTTTGCAAAACAAGAAACAAATAAAATACTTATATTCTGGTTAATTAAGAAATTAGTGTTAATATTTAGAGCATGCACATTGACCATATATAGAAGTATGGAATAGTGAACCAATTGTGACATGTCTAATTGTGACCTATATGAAATGATAGATTTCACTTTTGAAAATCTTAAAATTTTTACAGTCTATAGATAAACCCTAATTAAACGGGACAAATCATAATTTTTAATGTCCGTTCTAATCTGTAGTTGTCTTTTATATATTTTTTTTTTGTTTTATTCCGAGAAACGGCCTTTGGTTGTTATTGAAAGTCGTCGGCGTCCTTGTTGATTAAGTTTTAATCATGCATGGAGGCATCAGTCGTAATAGACCAATGAAAGTCGTGTTGTGCTTGAATCGTAAACCAGAAAAAGAAGTATTCTAAAGCGATAGAAACAAATATTTGTGCGACGATATTTGTACAAAATTATCTTAATTGATCAAATTACACCAATAGGAATCAGAACGTTAATTAGGTTTGTTTTTGTGAAAACTGACATTGAGAAGAGGTCTCCAAATGTCATTTTCTTTACATCTTGATCAACTATTTTAGAAAAATACCCGCACCATACCATTCCAATTTCTATGATGTGAAATTTGTTGTAGTAACTTTTATCTAATCGACTGACCTATGTTGATATAAAACTGTGTAAAAAAGTTTTTTTTTTTTTTTTTGGGACGGAATGAATATAAGAATTTTTTTTTTCTTGAGAAATCTTTAGACAATTTTCTGACATAAAAATGCTATTAATACTCTTAGTCCTCGATATCTGCCTCTCCTCTTCTTGACTTGAAGGCGGAATGTGGTTAATCAAATATGACTGCTGGGAAAGAAACTCCAATCAGTGTCAATGTCACAATTTTTACAAACATACAACAAACTGGGCAGCTAGCGGAATCAACCCTTTGATATATTTTCCTTGTTTCAAAACCTTATCTCGTTGAAGCCTATCCAAAACTTTGAAGATTATCATGATGGCTAGCTGTTTACGCCCAAACCTTATTTTAATAGGTATTGAAGATTATCTCGCGAATAAACAAAAACCTGTTTTAATTTGCTCAAAATAAGAATCAAATAATGCAAACAGAACTATTTTTGGAACGCCCAAAATTTATTTCACTGAAATTCGGCATAATCAATACCTACTCACGAATATATATATATATATATATATAATATAAACGTAACTAACGTACTATTCGATTGTCTTGCTTTGGTTTCAATCTTGTATATTGATACCTTTATTAATACTCGAAAAAAGAAGAAAGTGCGCATTAGTGGCCAAAATAAGGAGGCGGGCGTAACTAATTACCAAAAAAGGAAAACAACAAACACTAGGCAATTGGGAGGTGAAGCTTCTCTTTTTCACTTTTATTCTTGCAAATTGCAAATGCATTTATGATTTTAAAAAGATGTCTTCCAAGTTCCAATAACAACTTGCAAGGTGATCATTGAAATTGTTAATTCTGATAGCTGCTCCATGGATTGCAGAATATATTTTGATGGTGATAGTGCTAATTGCTCAAGCTGTGCACATCACGTTGATTTGGTCGGATTAGTTCGAAAATTACCTACAAAAAGTATCAATAATTCGTAGTATATGTAAAGCATATATTTTAATTAATTTTTTACACACACAAAAAAAAACCCCACAAAAACATAAAGTCTGCTTCTGATTATATATGTAAACCGGGGCTAATCACTAAGGTTAACCTCCCTGAGCATTTCTTTATACCGACTTTACTTCTTATTTTACCAGTAAAATTAGATTTTTAAAAATAATAAAAATAATCTACAAATATTTCCTTGTTTGTCCGAATTCTTTTATTGATTTATTTGATAATACTTGTGGTTGAATTTGGTAGAGGTTTAACTAAGTGGAGGAAGATCACAATTTGATAAAGATTATATATATATATATATATAATTATTTATGTAAGGACTAAGAACTTTTATTAATTTTTTTTTATAATAAAGGAGGCAATAGTCTGGAGTTTCTGGATTATTACAACACGCAAGTAAGAAATATCAACTACATTGGCTCTTCTAGCCATTGGATTCCTCACCAGACTTCTTGACATAACTAAACTCGCAAGAGAATCAGCAACAAAATTTCGTTCCTAATATATGTGTTTCAGTTCCACCATCTATATCCGCTTCATTAAATCACGAATAGCCATAACCAGACTTCTATGAATACCACAAACTTCTTCATCTCCTTCTATCATCTTAGCAATACTCACGTTGTTAACTTCAACAAGAATCTGGCGGAAACCTAGTGACCAACATTGATTTAAATTTTGAAACAAACCCCACAGTTCCGCTCCGATAACAGAACAAAAGTCGATATTCATTACGAAGCCTCCGCACCAGCGACCAACTGTTATTAAATTTTTAGAGGTTCAATATGTATCATTTAACCTTCCAATTGGAAGCAAAATCACTCTTGTAAAGCATAAAAGAACCTTGGGTGAATTTGCAATTACAAGTGAAATACGGGGACTAATTACTATTTATTTATTTATCAAAAAGGCTGATTTTTTAAATCATAAATCTTCAGCTCACGCGCCGCCAAAAATTCAAAATAGCCGCCATGGGACGAGGCCGCTACGACAGAGCTCCGCCGTCAGAAGAACGGCCAACCGGCGGTGCAGACAAACCCAAAAAACGTCAGCTTTATGAATGTGATCATCGTATCGCCGTGAGGCAGAAGTTCCGATCATCAAACGGCGAGACCAAACAGGAAACTGAAACCCTAACCAGTAGTAGCTCAGTGGTTTTGAAAACCTGTTCCTCTTCTCACAACCGCGGCCATGCCGATCGAATTAAGAGAAAGAGGAAGCTTAGGAGAAAGAAAAATAAGTTACTCGATGCCAAGGACGGTCGCCGGTGGACCTATTCGACTAGTGATTTTTCTAAATGCAAAGGTAAATGCTTGAACTTCTTATATGCTATTATCAAATTTTGACGATTGAACAGGAGAGGTTAATTTTTGGTTATTTTGCTTCCTCTTTGACGGTGTTAAAGGTTTCCCTGCTTTATTTATTTATTTATTTATTTATTTTTTGGTGCAGATAGGATAGTTTTTGTCTCATACAATATATTAGGAGTTGGAAATGCATCGAAGCATCCGGATTTGTACCGTAAAGTACCACCAGAGTATTTGAATTGGGATTATAGAAAACGGATTTTGTATAAGGAAATCAAGAGTTACAAGGCCGGCATTATGTGTTTGCAGGTCAGTTTTGTTCTTCAAGCTTGAATTGTATTTGAATTTACAGAAAATTGTAATGCATAGTTTTTAGATTAATGTTTGAAGCTTCCATTAGATAGTAGTGAAGCTCTTGGGTTCGGATAGTTTATTCATTGAACATTTGAAGAACTCATTGCGTAGATTTCTTGACTTTATTAGGCTTTTTGTGTTAGATAGAGTTCATCATTATAGGTGATTGTGGTTACTTGAAACTTTTGGCTGCAGGAGGTGGATAGGTTTGAGGATTTAGGTCATCTTCTCAAAAAAAATGGGTTTAAGGGAGTCTACAAGGTACTTTGAAGATCCTTTTCTCATCACATTGGGTTCGGAAAGGTTACAGACTGAGTTTCAGACTATTAATTCATTTGTTGTTTTTCTAAAAGGGGCGAACTGGTGAAGCATTAGATGGATGTGCCACATTTTGGAATGCTGACCTGTAAGAACTCTGCTTTCTCTTCTTGCACTGATTTCCTTATTTCGGATTCTAACTGTGATGGCCTTTTACCTGTGCATTTCTTCCTCAATTGCTTGTTCTAATTTTATTTAACTGGTTTCTTGAGTCATCTTTTGTAAAGGGTTGATCTGTTGATGTTTCAATATGCTTCAATCTGAGAAGTGTTTTACCTGCAAATCTATATTTAATATCTTTTTCTATAGTAGCAACTACTTTTAGGTAATTTTTGAGCAAAAGTATAGGCATGGAGTCAAGTTGGGACTAAGAGGCTGGGTAACTTGACATTTGGCATCTTACTTCTGTTTTTGTATTAGCCCTAGTCAGCTTCTTCCTTTTATATTTCTGCTTACTGTGCTTTGGTAATGTTTGGAATTTTTTTATAGGTTTACCCTATTGCATGAAGAGAGCATAGAATTCCAGAGTTATGGTCTACGCAATAATGCTTGCCAGATTTGCGTTTTCAAGGTAATCCGAATTTGATCATTTAGTGTTTTACATTGTAAACTATATAGCACGAACCTTTAGAAAATATTCACCTGTTATTGTGTAATCTGTCTATATTACTGTAATATAATGTCCAATCCAGATAGAGTAGGAAATAGAGATTTTAGAAAACAAATTCTATACTGACACCAAAAAAAAAATTAAAAAAAAAGGAAAAAAAAAAGAAGAAATTCTATATGAGCTGCTGAACGAACAGTAGTTGTACTAGATTAACAAATTTCCTAGCTCCTTTTGTCGAGGTTTGAAGTTTCCCATCTAAGCTCTATTAGTTCATTAGGCCTTATTCGCAGATTTTAAGAATTCTGATTGGTATCAGGGGTCAATAACGTGGTTAAAAGGTAAGGAGTCGATTGTAATGAAGGTTTGATATGCCTTCATCTTTCTGAAGATATCATTCATTATCAGTTGAGTAAAACCAGTTGAATACTGAATAGAAGCATTACCAGTTCTTGCCACTCTTATGTTCGTTTCAATAGAATTTAGTATGAAGCCCTTTCTTGACTGAACAAGTCTTTGACGATCTAATCTTGTCTCTTAGTTATAAACCTGCTTTGATCTCCCAAGGTTATGTGAAACCTATTCCTTTCCATTTGTCCTTGCTGCATAGCTTTGTTACTGGAAACAGTTCTTTCCCGTAGCTTATCATCAAACCAATACTCATGGTGCTTTTCTGTATCCTCACTTCTTTGATTAATGTGTGCTACAAAGTATGTTGTTATACTTGTGATAGTTTGTTTTTTGTCTGATTTTGCTTAGTGCCAAGTTGACAATTTATTATGCATTGATTCAGATGAACAGTGACAGAAATTCCCAAGAACCTACAAAGTATGTCTGGAGATCTCTTTTGTCATGCTCTTTTTATGTTCTATTGCTCTATATTAAAAGAAATCGCACTTATGCCTTGACATTTTGAGCTCCCTTTTCATGCTTGTGCTTATAGTCCGTCAATTATTTTGTTTTGTGAATTGTGTTTCTATTTTCCTCAACTAACATTGTGCACTTGCAAACTTAGGTGTCCTTCTCGAAGTTTTGTTGTTGGGAATATACATTTACTCTTTAATCCAAGTCGTGGAGACATCAAACTGGGTCAGGTACCTCTCATTTTCCATTTTCTATGATAAGCGTCAGTGAAGAAGTTTCCTTTAACCAAGAATAACATATTCTTCGCTTGTCAATGCTTAACACGGACTTCTTTTAGACATCTCTCCGGTTTCGTTCCCAGCTGATTGAATCTTCGACATGGTTTTTCTTATAACATATAATGTTTGCAGATGCGACTTTTTCTTCAAAAGGCCCACACACTATCACACGAGTGGGGTAACATTCCAGTTGTGATTGCTGGAGATTTTAATAGTATGCCACAGGTGATTTCCAGATCTCCATTTTAGAATTCATACGATGTGTATCATTTTCTGGTCATTTGATGTTTTCTTCTGTGTTTTTCTCAGAGCCCAATGTATCAGTTTCTGACTTCCTCAGAGGTGACCTCTGCTTCCCTGACTTCCGAACACTTTAGTTTGAAACTTTTTTGTGTTTGCTATTTCTCTTGGCTTCTTGAGCTCATCTGTTGTTGTTAATTGGCTTTTTAACTTCTCAAAATTGTCGCAGTTGAATATCCAGCTACATGATCGAAAGCAAATATCTGGCCAGATTTGTCCATTGGATCACTCCTCTCAGAATAATGGTTATCTGGCAGCAAGGTTTGGTCCGACACTTTCTTTCTTTCTTTTGTTGTAGAGATACAGTGTGCATATAGAAAATTGATTCAGAAGTGGATACTCACTTTGACATGAAATTGCCAGTAAACAACAATGGAAGTCAATTGCAATTTTCCATTGCTATGATAGAGCTCTAGAAACTACGGATCTCAAAGTGGTCACTATTTTTTCCAAATCCAATAGATTTTCTGCATTAATTTAATGGAAATTATGGTGATCACATATCTCTTTAGCTTGTAAATTACAATGATCCAACTGAATCATGGAGAAGATTACGGTAGTATTTGTTTGTTTTTTTAATTACTGGGTAGTATTTGCAGTGGTTTTGCTTCAAGATACCCATCACTATATAGATGGACTGAAGATGAACTTAGGCTTGCTTCAGGATCAGCTTCAGGTCACCTGAGGCACTCTTTGAAGCTATGCAGCACTTATGTAGGAGTTCCTGTAAGATTTTGGCACTCACTCACTCACTCACTCACTCTCTCTCTCTCTCTCTCTCTCTCTCTCTCTCTCTCTCTCTCTCTCTCTCTCTCTCTCCATATATATATATATATATATATTTGTTTTTTTTGAGGATAGATCTTGGCACTCATTTAGCTCAGTGGCATTCCAATCGTTATGCTCTCAATGGAGTACTCCCTCAGTCTTGTTCCTCCATTCAACAAACAGGACACATATTTTGTGATGGAGGGAGTAATTGTCCATGAGGATGTTGCCACCTCTCGCACATGTGGCAACTGAAATGCTGATTTTCTCTCTCATAAAATCTTTTTCTACATTATGCAGGGAAGCACTCAAACAAGGAATTATATGGGGGAGCCTTTGGCAACATCATTTCACTCCAAGTTCATGGGAACCGTGGATTATATATGGTGCCATTCTCCTTGCTGCTCATTGTTTGTCTTTCACCTACCTTACCACCCTTTTTTTTAGCTTTGTTCTCATCGTAAATAAAGCCATGCAGGCATACAGGGGAGTTTCTTCCTGTCAGAGTTCTTGAAACATTACCCTTCAACGAATTACAAGAAACGGGTGGTCTTCCAAGTAAGGTAACTTTCTTCATCCACCTTTTATGCTAGTCGTCTCTCTCTGTCCTTCCCCACTTTCATTTTGAGGAGGCATATTTCTATTGTATATAACCCTCGTAAGTATGTCTTTTTTATCCTTCATCCATCAGAATTCTCGGGTGCTTATATTAAATTGCAAACTGAAAATATCTCAGAAATCCTTTGGATCTCATCAGTAAGGTTAAAATTTGAGGATCTATTGCATTGTGGAAACTATAAATTTGGATACACAAGGTAGACCACTTCTATGGTTGCTCGCATGTGGCCAAAGCCTTATCTCCTCTTTCTTCAGTTCTATTTTTCTATTGGATCAAGAAGGTTTTGGCCAAAATTTGTCTGTTTTTTTCTGATAATTTGTATGCATTTACTGCTGTGAGAAGCTTGCAAGAACTTGTATCTTCTTACTTGCATAACGCATAAGTTCATATTGCAGCAATGGGGAAGTGACCATCTCGCTATTGCATGCGAACTTGCCTTTTCTGAGGATGGACCAGCAGGATAATTTTCGTCATGCTTCCAAAAGTCCCAAACTCTTCTGGTTGAAAGATTGAAGAATTGCGACTTTATTGACATCCTTTCCAGCGTCAGGGGAAAGCATAATCCTCTTTTTACTTGTGATTATACTCCTTCTGCACATGACCGAATATGCAGATTTAATTTGGTCTAGAAATGAACTGCTAAGTTTAAATCATGTAGGTCGGACGCTAATTTTCCATAGGCATAGAGTTAGGACTTAGGAGTCTTATTTGTCTCTCTTTTTTTTTTCTTTTTTTTCTTTTTGCTTAGCAGGGAAAATATACAAGTTCTCCTACAAAGGAGTCTTATTTGTCTCTAATTATGTTAGGTTTTGTCCACTATTTAAGACGATTGGCTCTGAATTCTGTTACCGAAAAATCGTATTCCTCTCTCAAAGTTATTGTTCAATTAGAAATTTTATTTTTAGTTCAATTTGTACGAAAAATAAAAATTTAAAGTGGACAATATTTTTGAGACGAAAAGAATGTTATTAAGTGTTTTTGTGACCGTACAACTTGCAAGCTCATGTGTTTGAATTGTTATCTCAAAACATGTTTCATCCTTTTGGCCCTCTCTTTTGAGGTTATAATACATGTTTGGCCTAAATTTAAACAGGTTGTAAACGAATTTTAAATTACTCTACTTTGATCTCTTTTCGTCCTAGAATACTTTGTATGGACTATCTTTATAGAAGGGAGTTGTTTTCGTAATCTCCAGGAAAAAGCAATGTCTTTTTTTTTTTTTTTCGAAAAAGTGGGAAAAAAAAATAGTAGTTCATTATTTGCGCTTCGCAGTCAAATTAATAGTAGTTTATTATTTGAATTACATAGAAATTACCATAAAATCGTCTATGAAAATGATGGCGAAAAGATTATAAAAAAGAAAAGAAATATTAGGAAATCCATGTTTAAAGTTCTCTAGCCGATTCCACCCGCTCCCCGGAGACCAAGTACTTAATCTCGCATAAAACTTCAAACCATTTAGATACGATTCAATTTCAAGCCAAACCACTTGAATTTGAGAGAAATTACTCCCATTTCAATTTCAACTTCAGATTTTTTGTCCTTCCTTCCCTTTTGTTTCTCTTTTCTTATCTCTTCTAAAATGTATTAGGCTCCGTTTGATTAGATTGAATTGGAATTACAATAATATTGAATTGAAAATGATATATTACTATTGTAATTCAATTTCAATTTCTTTGTTTGGGAGATCTTGAAAATTTATTAGAATTAAGGTTCTAATTCCAATTCTTGCGTTTGGATGCATAAAAATTTGGATACTTTAGGATTGAAATTTGTTTGTTCTATATAATTAATACTTGTACAATTTATACTTCTTGTCAAAAACAAAAAAAAAATTTTATATAGATATGTATCACAAAAAAATAAATAAATTCACTATTTACATGTATATTTGACTACTTTGTGGTTGTTTAACTAATACAATTTTTATTTTTTTGTTAAAACAAATTATAATTTCTAATAAATTTGCTAAATCAATTTCTTAGTTTATTATGTACACACAGTTTTTGTTGGAAACAAAAGAAATATTACTACCTCCGTCCTAAAAAATTAGCCCATATTGAGTTTTCAAATTTGTACTAAAAAAAGTACAAAAGTCAAAACTCAATGTGGACTATTTTTTTTGGGACAGAGGGAGTATTACATATAAGAATTATCAATATGATACTTAAAATTCTCACTTAATATACAAACATGTCACATGTAAAACATCCTTGTTTTCCTCTCTTTTATTATTTTTCAAAAATTTTAATTTTTGATGTTTTGATTTATATCAAAAATTAAAAAAATTTTACTATATAATATTATAAATTCAGTTTATGAATATTGAGGTTCATTTATATATAGATTAACATTAGTATATAATATATGCTTAAGTTTTTATTATATATATTTATGAAATAATAGATACTTAAAACTCAATTTACATAATTTTTGGTGAAAAGATGCCATGAATAATTTAAAATTTATATATATATATGTATTATAATATAGATGTATATATGGAACAATTTCTATAATTTTTTTTTGAAAATTTTATATTTTTTACTATGTCATAATATAATAAAAATTTTAATCCAAAATTAAAATATTTAGTTATTAATTTTTTTCTGGTACAACTATACTTTTGATATTTTTTTGTAAATAAGATACAATGTTAATTTAGATTGATTTCATTGATAATTATTAAATGGATATATATGAAATAATAATAATGAGACAAAAAGACAAAAAAAAATGACAAACAAAGATAAGAAAAACGTCAGGAACCGCTAAAAGCAAAAAAAGAAAAAGAAAAAAGAAGTGCTGAAAAAATAAAATTAAAATAACAAAAAAATATTAAAGAAGGTCAAAAGGCAAAAAATGATAGAGCGACCCGTTTAGGTTATAACCCGAAAACGACCCGATTATGACCCACGTGCTTTTTTAAATCCCTTGAATTTCAATTCTAATTATTTTCTCCCACAAAAAAATTAAAAATAAAGAATTGAGCCCTATCTTGAATTATAATTCCAATTCTTAGACCTCTATTTTTTCAACCAAACACAAGAATTAGAATTAGAGAGCTCCAATTCCAATTATTGGTCCCAATTCAATACAACCAAATAGAGCCTTATACTTGTTTTTCTTATTCGATCAGTATCGAACTTGCAATTGGAGAGATACCTGAGATAACACTTGTGAATCTTGAGTCAATTTTACAAAAATCCATTTTCCCATTTCATTGTTCATTAACAAATAATTGAGATCAAATTAATAAATGTTTCTTTAATTAATTCTTTAAACGCTTGGTGTATAGAATATCATAAAGACAGAGAATAAACTTGAATACTTGATAGCTATTCTCACATGATGAAATCCCAAGTTATATTTGTTCCACATTGATATTATTTTTTTTTTAATTTTTTTTTATACATACGAAAGAAACACATTGTGCTTATAAGATTACAAAAGAAATCCTAATTAGATGCTTCAACTTATTCTACGGAAAGAAACCTAGTTCCTCTGGAACATAACAGAGAAAAATAAAAAATTATCTAAAATACATCACCTCTATTCAATAGAGTGCTAACTAATTGTTCAGAGGGGATAAAAACTGTGACTATTTTCCTCTTCAAAATAGCATATTGGGTTGGGAGAGTTGTTTTTCCTTATTCCTTGATTTTCAATTTTACTTTCATATGAAATTGTTTGACTTCTATATGGTGTTAGAGGGGGATCGACCTGTGGTGAATTTTAGTCCCTGATATTATTCCGCGACCCCTGATGTTATTTCACGGTTATTTTCCTGATCCAGCAGTGTATATGGTGATTTAGTCCAAGCCTGTTGGGCTTGAGGGGGGTGATGAAATCCCCCACATTAGTATCGTGAGACACTTATCAATATGCTACTCTCCTCATTGCCAATTGGTTTTGAAGAGGAATCCCATGAACTTTTATATCACCTTCATATCCAAATATACTTCCGTTATATTAAAAAATAGTTGAGATTTATGATTTCTCATTAAATTTTGAGATTTGTAATATTACAATCATTCACCTCATTGCTAATTGGTTTTGATGTAGAATCCCATGAACTTCTATAGCACCTTCATATCCAAATATACTTCCCCTGCATTAAAAAATAGTTGAGATTTATAATTTTTCATTAAATTTTGAGATTTGTATGATTATCTCTCCAAATTAGTTCAATTTCTTTTCTGAGAACGAATTTATGCAGATATATTTCTAGGATGACTTTCCGGAGATACTTGTGGTATCCCGCTATCCAATAAAGAATAGTGTTTCTCAAATCTTGAAAACATGAAAATATACCTCATTTTTAAGATACGTCTTCTCACATTTAAATACAACTTTCAAAGTTAATATCGAAATTCCATCTAAAATTAGGTTTTGTTTGGACTCCCGCTCTAGAGTAGTTTTTTCTCAAAAGATTTTTAATTAAAGTAGCTGTACATTTTTCATCACCATCGTTTTATATATATATATATATATATATTTAAAAAAACAAATACTTAGAAAAAGTGTTCCAAATAAGCCGTTCGAAAATTGTTATCTGCGATCGAGAAACCTACGTAATTCAATTTCCGAGGAGTTTATATTGCAGTAGCTTCTACAAGTGGATTCGATCGGGAGGCAAACTTGAGGAAAAAGGAAACGAAAGCGACAAGAAGAAGTCCACGACCAAACTTATATAAATAGCGAATGACGCAAAAATCCTTGATTTGTCGAAACGTAGGCAAGTTCAATCAAATTGTCGGCAACTCGGTGGCTCCAAGAATTATGGTGTTTTGCGGCCGCCTATTTCCAACCTCTTGGATATATTTGTCGGCTAGTTCCATGCACAACCGCCTCAACGAACACGATCACGTTCAAGATACTATATACTACTACTCTTTAGTTCTAAAAATAATTGTATGTTTAGTATAATACAAAGCAATTTAACAAATACGATCATGTTAGTGTTACTATAAGCTATTTTGATTTTTCATAAATTTCATTCATTGTGTTATTCCTATTAAAAATAAAAATTTAAAAGTTCGTTTTTGCATCCATTGTGTGCTCTTAATTATTATTATAAAGTATTTGTAATATTTCATTTTCAATTGAGAAGATATAATACGTGAAACTTAAGAGAAATTAAAATAGTTTATAATAAGAATAGAAGGAAGTATAAAATATTTTGTCAGTGAGAGAGTAAATACATACTAGTATTCTCTAAAATAAAATATTTAAAAACATAAAGATTGACATCGTACTTATTGAAATTAAAATGAAAAGGCAGAATAATCAATGCATTCCCTCATTTTCTCCCGGTGGGAAGAAGGGGGAAGAACTATTTTTTGGTCTGCACTCGAGAGAGAAACGGAGAAAGAAATTAGGAAAAAAAAGAGAAGCGATTAGGGTTTATAATATTGTCTGAAGGACTAATTGGCTTCTTTTTTTTTTTTAATGATTTTGCATAGTTGTTTATGTCACGATTTTAGATTCCAATTCAAGACTCTAATTGATAAGGAGTAAAATTATTCAAGGGACTTATAAGTGGTCTTAAATTCTTTACACAAACAACGTGAGATTCTTGTCCAAACCGTTTACTTTGTTTTTGTTAGTACTTAAGTTGAAGCATATTTTAAATTTCCCCTTAACAATATGATGACTTAATGGAGACTAAAAATAGCTTGAGATACAGTACAACCAAACCAAGCCCATTGCATCAAGGGAGGGTTGTAGAAAAATTTTGAGGAACGCAAACTAGGCAATATTCTTAACTATTAAAGTGAAAAAGCAAATATGTTGCTGATTATATGGTAACTTTGGCGGCGGCTAATCCAGCGGGCTTGATACGACTGGATTCGCCTCCACCAAGTGTATTTTGGTGGCTTAACCATGATATCATAAGCGCCGCCTATCCCCGGCATATTGTAATATAGAGTAACATGACTTTTGTAATTAAAAAAAAATGGCTTTTATAATAAAAAAAAAAAGTGAAAAAGCAAATAGTGATGGAAGAGTGAAGAAATGATCTCCAAATTTCTCCAAAAGTCAAACTGAAAATGCAAAAGCCAATATGTCATCCAACTTTTCCAACTCAATTTTATGTCATCCACCTCTTTTTGTTCTAGAGTTCGTGGGGGTAAAAGCAAAGGCAAAAATAAGGTTTAGAATAAGACACATAATTAAAGGAATGCAGAAAGGTAGGTGTTCGGCTATCTTCCACCAATATCAAGGATCAAATAAAACACAATAGATATTTAATAGAGGTCAAGGTAGTGCTAATGTTTTATTCTCTACGTCCCAAAAAAAAGAAAAAATATTTCGTAAAATAATTTGTAAACGGAAGGAATGTACCATTATCGGGTTGAGAATTCCAATCACACCGAGCTAGATGTATAATCTTTGATCTTTCTATTTGAGAAGTTAGACGTTTGAATCTTATCAGATATGCCTATTTCAGAACTCAAATGTTTGAATCCCACAGGATGTACAAATAATGTTAAACTAGTAAAGGAGGAAGAAACAAAAACCAACACAGCAGAAAAGCTGAAAAGGAGAAAGAAAAGAAAGTCAGCAAAACAACAAATTTAGACTAAAAAGGGCAAAGACATTCAACTCTACTATGTTCATCTGTCCTAATCATGTACTGTATATTCATTAAAAATTTGACTGCAAAAAGGAGCAGAAAAAAAGATCAAAGGATGAACAGATTAGTACATGAGGATTAGCATCCAAGAGAACTCGTTTCCTCATTCTTTGGACAAATCAATCCAGAGAAGAATCCTTGTTAAGCAGGTTCTCAACAAACAGATTTAGCTGCTCTTCATCACCATCAAAAAGATCCAAATTGGCCACCTTTAGAGAATCATTAGTAAGCTCATATGCAAAGGTTATCTGCGGAGGAATCTCCTTCAATCCCAACTGTTTCAAGTCATTTCCACATTGCAAATGTTCTTCGAAATTCAATATCGGACTAATTGGAGGTGACATTGGTGGATCAGCCACATATGTTGAACTATCCTCCACCTCCTCCAAATCATTACCATTGCTCAACTGGTTGTTATTCCCCAAGGTTGCCTCGTTTTTCACTGGTTTGGCTTTCTTGAAAGGTTGCCATTCTCCTATTTGTTTATTAACTGCATTCACATGAACAGATGATTCAACATTGCCACTTCCTATGTGAAGCTCTGTAGCCATTGCTTCTTCTAACTCTGCAATTGCCCTTTTCCTCATACCACAAGGTAACAGATTCTCATCTCTTTCTGGATGAAATTCTTGAGTAGCTGATGGAAACTCAATCTCGGAATCATGAACAATGCTGGTGAGATTTGTCTGATCACGGGGTGGATTGTCAGAGGCTCCAATGGTGGGAGCAGAAGTAGACACATCAAGAACAGATGACGGAGACGGATGGGAACCAATAGCATTAGTAGTCTCCTCTGAAGCAGAGCCACCCTCAAGAGTTGATCCTCCAGAGGAAGTCATATTCCTATTCCTTTGAGCCAAAATCCTTGCAAACTCCTGCTTCTTTGACTGATATGCCCGGACAGCTTCTTCTTCAGTATCAAAAGTACCAAGCCACTGTCTTTTCTTCTCAAAAGGATTCCTGATTTCAGCAGCAAATTTTCCCCAAACCCTTTTCCTGACCCCAGGATATTTAGATGATGAAGATGATGATGCGTTCAATTTCTCATTGTTCTGACCACTCTTCCCAGACTTTGTCCCTGCATTTTCCAAATGCTTCACAGGATTTTCTATCTTATTCTTCTTCTGATCATTCTTAACATGTGTTTTCCCAGCATTCTCCATACTCTGAACAGACTTTTGTATGCTTTTCCCTTTCACCGGACCACGAGCAATAACAAATTCCCTGCGTTTGTTAAGGCCGGGAACATCACAATCATCGCTGTCAGAATCAGTAGCATCAGGATCAGTATAGCTGATCTTAATTCTTCTGACAGAATTCAACAACTCCTCCTCCAAGCTTCTTCCTTTTTTACCTTTGTCCATATCAAGAACATAAGAATGACTGCATATCACTAAATGAATAAAAGAATGAATCAACCCGGAAAGAAATGACCCAAAAAAGATTTCCAAGTTCTGAGATTCTTGAACGATTATCAGTCCAAAGAATCACTCCCATTATCAAAAATTAGTCCTTTACATGGAAAAAACCCCCAAAGCATTCCACTCCAGAGCAAGTCCTGCACTCAATACAACACCCAAAAAAAAGAAGAAAAAAACCAAAACCCCTTAAAACCCTTTAACAATCACATCATCAAACGCCAAAAAAATTCATAAAACAAGTAAAGATTCAGTCTTTTTCACAAAACAGTCGATCAAAAAAGCAAAACAGAAAGGATAAAAAGGCCAAACCTTTTGGGTCTTAAACGCATGGAAGAAGATGGGATGGTGTGTTTTCGCCTTGGGAGAAGACAAATTTGTGGAGAAAAGCTGGAGTCACTCAGAGGGTAAGTAGATGATGGAAGCAAGAGAGCAGAAATCGAAGCTGAAGAAGACAAATTAATGAGAGTAAAAACTCTTCCCTTTTGCCACCAAGTCGCATATAATCCAATTCCTCCAACCAGATCACCTCTGTCCTCTTCCTTGTCTCTTTGATTTCAAATTTCTTTTTACCTTTTGGTTTTGTTTTTTTTTTACCTCTTCTTGAACGGCCTTTTTCCCGAGAGTGGAGAGAAAAAATCGCAGAGGGAAGCGATTAAACACACTTATAAAGCGCTTTAAATTTCTTTGATAATGGCAATCTCTTCTAGTAGTAAGGTTTTTTGAAGGTGTGGAAATAAAAAGAGCCCGTTAAATTTAAGAAACCAAGAGTTACGCAGATTTTCTTGCTCAAGATAATTATGGGACAGTTTTGTTGGAAACTTTGTTATCAGCAGATATTCATTTAATTTTTTATTATTTTTTTTATATTTTCATACTTCATCTTCTTTGTAAATTACACAGACAGTCTCTATGGAAAATGATTTAATTTTTCTTTAAATGGATCATAAATGGAAATAAACCCATAATTTTGGTTATTTCTTTAATGTGTATTATTAAAGATGAATGAAGAAATGAACTGAGTGTCTTTGGTTTTCTTAAAAATAATTTGGGGTTTTTTTTTCCCATTTCATTTAATGGTAATGTCACACCGTTTAAGTTCTCTACCTTTTCATCCAAAATTGGAAGATTTTGAGGGGTCAACCTTTGATGATTCCCACATTTATTATGTTAATTCTCACCGCCTGCAGAAAAGGAAAAGGACCATTTTCCCACTTAATTTCATCATTTCTTTAGATTGGGGCCAAAAGATTTTCTTCCGTTTTTTTTTTTGGGAGGGGGGTCTTTGAGGCGGTTTCTTTTCAAACTAAGGTGTGTGGGGTTTCACTCGCTCAGGTTATGATGCATACAGCTCTCTGTTGTTATAACTCTTTTCGCTCTATAGTAGAACAAAAAACGTGACTTTTATTTTGAAACAGAATCTAAATTATATTAAAATTGAAAATTTTTTTTATGAATATATGAGTTGTAATATCTTACACTTCGAAGTTGTATACGTGGTGCACTTCTTATTGGTTGAAATTAGCAGTATATGTACACATATAGTTGTGGAGGAATACATTGTATATATGTGATTAATAATGATCGAATCACGTTATGACAAAACCAACGTTACAATTTCAAATTTCGGTTCACTGTATTAGACACGATTATTACACCAACCAACAGCTCAATTCTCTAAGATATCTTTCTCAATATAAATATATGGTCCCCTAAAATTACATGTTATTCTTCAAGCCTCAAAATTGAAGAAATTGAATCCACCCTCACGAATGACAAAACTATCATTCACATTTTTTTGGGTACTCTTCAAATGTGACTATGATGGGCGTTGATATACTCCATATGGATGGACAAAGAAATCATCTGCATTGCCACAATTTGTCCAATGAAGTCTTTATGGCCCGATTTATAGTCTGCAATCTTTAGCCCAAAACTCGGTATTCTCATTTTGAATTAGTTTCTCACAATCTGGGCTGCAGTTTGAAGATTTACTGGCCTATTTCTCTAAAGATGATTAGGAAATTTGTCATTCGGCCCAGTTGAATTCTGTTGGTTTTTCCAATAATAAATACTCTATATAATCATTCAATTTTTCAAATAAAACCATCCATTCTTCAAAATTTAAATGAACACATTTTTTTTTTGGGTACAATCGAGAATGGCAAAATGCCTAATAAAAGATACATCAACACACTGGTTGAAAGAGTTGCGATCCAATTCCTGTTATATTTATATATATATATATATATGGTGTCTCAAATATCTAATAATTTTACTGGCTATACATGACCAAATAACGTCTATAAATGACCAAATAACGTTAAATAATCTCTCGAAAAATTTGTTTCTCAAAAAAATGGACAAATCTGCACCTGCGAATTCCTCCGCAACACGTCTACAATTCAAGGGATCACAAATTTTTTTCTGAAGAAAATTATCAAACATTCCATTTGTTCCTCAAAAGATAGTCGATGTTAGGTTATGTAATTTATATTAAAAATAGTACAAATCGTAAAATTTAATGTGAATTATTATTATTATTATTATTTTCAGAAAGCTCAGTTTGGTGAGGTCTAGAGTCCCATTCCACAGTCGTTAGGTAAACATTATATTTTTCCAATCCAAAAAATCCACACTTGGAAAATGCATGCATAATTTAACATGTCAAATTTGGAAAACCACCCTCGACACTCACTCGGCATATCAATCCAACCAGAAAAGGAGGGACAAACATTTGCCCGACCAAAAAATAACTAAGACCAAGTACATTTGCTTCTATTGTTTTTTTTTTGTTTTTTTTTTGTTTTTGGTCTTTGTTTTGTATTTAGGATGCCTATATGGCAGTCTAAATTCTTTACTGACTTTATAATCTTGTATGTTACTAGCTACTACTAAATAAACTCTTGACTTGACTGATAAGAAAAATTAATTTAATAATAATTGCATGTAGTAGATTATTTGGCAACAATGGCAGTAGAATGCTCTATTCGACTACTCGTCAACCTTCTATTCTACAGTTTTTGTAGAGACTTTGGCTGTTTGAGTAAATTCATAGACATTACTAAAAAACTTCCTTAAAAATTAAGTGATATTCTTAAAACTCCATATACATGTGTTTGGAAATGGATAAACTCTGTTTCTTGAAAGTCTGTGCTTGGGTAAAAATTCCAACCAACGTTTTCCTTGCGAAAATTCAACTCAACTAAATTACCTTTTCAAAGAAAACGAAATTGTCTTGGAATAACTCTGATTCCTCCATGAACCAAAATTCCACAATATCCCAGTCATCTTTTTATTTTTTAAAATTACTCTTTGTGTCGTAAAAAATTATCCTATGTATATGGTGACGAAGTATAGTAATAATACTAGAGGAAAATTCAATAATTATTAACTCTGCTCTCTATTATCTCACTCATCAAGATGTCTACAATTCAGCGAAGGAGATTAGTCACTATTGCCGACGGGAAGACATCCTGCAAATATGAAAAAAAAAAAAAAACTCTGCTCTTTATTAAAGAAATGACCAAAGATGAATGGTATGGTTGCCATCTTAATAATTATAATACTCTTTCTGGTAAAGACGAAGTGGAGTTTTAGACTCTGTTTGATAATCATTTAATATAGTGACTTAATTTATTTAAGTATTTAATGAAATTAAGTGTATTTGATAATTGCTACTAAAAAGTCTTAATGAATTAAGTTATGAACTAATTAAGTACATATAAATTAAGTGCGTTTGATAACTGAAATTTCACTGTCTGAATTAATTAAGTGCGTCTGAATGTCCAGTTCGATTGTGAGCCAGAAAATAAGTGATAGGCCTACCACTTATCACTTATCACTTAATTTCTGTAATAACTCTTTTTTTTTTCTTTTTTCTTTTTTTTTCCCTTTTTTTTCTTCGTCTTTATTTCGACGCTTATTTTTACATTGTTTTAAAAAAAAAAATTTCTTTAGATGAATTAATTAAGAGGGCTTAAAGTTGAATTTATATTATGAGTATAAAAGATCTCAAACTTTTAAACTCAAATTAAACTAATTCTAATACATAAAATTTGCTAAATAACAAGGTATACATATATATGCAATAATCTAAATTTAATTATATATTGATAATTTACCAAGTATAATATCTACTTTCATTATATATACCAAAACTTATTTTAAAATTATGGTTCTATTATTTAGAACAAAATATTAATTATTTTTATTTAAAAGAATTTTGTTTATAATTCAATTTTAATGATATTAAAATTTTAAATAACTTTCAGACCTGAGTATTTAGATTCAGTCTTCAGACTTCAGACTTCAGTCTTCAGACATCAAATTCAGACGTTTTTATCAAACAATGTAAATTCAGTCTTCAGACTTCAGACTTCAATGTTAAGTGTTAAATGTTAAGATTTAGACTTCAGTAATTATCAAACGGAGCCTTAGTCTGAAAGTGGCTCTAAATCTTTCTATTAGTCAAATTAGAAATATAGGACCCTTCACTTTCTGGCTGCAGTCGTCCCTAAGTCTTCCTGAATTATTATTTTATAGGGCACAGCAGCAGCCACTAGGGCTGAATTAACCCCAAAAGAGATTCTCACCAAAAAAAAAAAAAAACAAAAACAAAAGAATTTTATAAAGCAGCAGCCTTTCCGCGAGTGAAAGTCCAGATTTCCAGTAATCGTTCGTTTTCCACAAATTAGGAATTAGATTTTGAGCCCTCTCGAGTTGATTAATACGATTTCTGATGTGCTATTTTTATCAGGTTGTGTTTGCATGTCGCTTATTAACCTCAAGTTTGTAAGTGGAAAACAATGATTATGTAAATATATAGTGCTCTTATCGAGATTAAATTCCATCAGATTGGAACATTAATCTCCAAAATTTTAATCACGAATCTCTTTATTGTACGTTTAGTTTGACTTCGGAATAAATAGCAATTATACGACAATTATTATAAAAAAAAAAAGAAAATGTGTTATTTGCCAAGTGAAAATATACTATTTGGAATCTTACTTTGTGTTGAAAGTGAGAATATACTTGTGACTTTCTGTTGGTTAGACATATATTTAGGGGAAAAAAAAAAGTGTTCCTCTCATTTGAACATTTTCACCGAACAAACAAAAGAAAGCAAACAAATTTCCACGTAACTGTGAAAGTAATTTACTACGATGGAACTTTCAATAATTCTTGTTCTTGGAGACAAGCATAGTGTAATAGAGAAACTAGGGGGGCCGCGATGCAATTTCGAGGAAGGCTCTTACTGCGATTGTGATCATCATAATCCTCCTAATCATCAGAACAATGATCTAATTGCAATCAACGCCTCAACTTCTCCTAATTCTCAAAAATATCAACTAAAGAGTAAAAGACCTCTGTTTATTATCTACAAATTATGAATTTTCCTAGCATGCACTTATTTCGGTGTTCCTTCAAAACAAGTAAAAGGAGTAAGGTGATGTATTTTTCTCCAAAATTTGAATATATTTGTACATCAATTTTTTTCCCATATTTCCATGAATTTTTCAACTATTTATCTTTCTTTCTTTTTTTTTTTTTTTTTTCATTGGAATGTTATGTTTGAGTATATGCTCGGTTTGTTATTTGGTGTTTTTTTCAATAATTTTGCAAATAATGCACTCCTCATTTAAATTTTTCAGAATAACTGCTTTACATTTTCAAAAAAGAAAACTACATTGAAAAAATTCCTAACTTTTACATTCGGTTCATTTTGTATGATTAGAACAAGCATTTATGGCCGACTATATTAGCTCAACCTAGATCGTGTGTAACTATTTACTCCAATCATGATTATCGCTTGTGACCCCCAGCAAAAAAAAAATCATAATTTAAAGTTGGACCATTGCATAATTTGTAAAATCGACATAATTAAAATGATCCAATGCTATAATCACACAACTAGATGGGATTTTTACTAGAATTAGAAAAAAATCGAGGGATTTGTCTAGCAAACCTAACACCACCATTATTTCTAACAAGATGACCTGACGTGAGGTCGTGAGCATCTCAGTCATTTCTTATGACCTCACCCACCGATGACATCATATCATTTTCACTATCCTCTCAATTTCTCTCGTAATAGTAGCTCAAAAATGTACCAATTTCTCCCAATCGAATCCAACGGTTGAAATTAACGCCATAAACCGGGACAAAAAATTCTCCCGACACTCTCAGTGCGAGAAATACTTAAACATTGACGAGACCCAAAGCCCAAATTCTTCCCTATATAATTCATTTCCACCAATTTTGCTGCCGCCCGGAGATCTCTTTACTCAATGGAAAGGGAGAAGAAGCGGAAAAGGGCCGATCACAATCATCAACGCCAGGTTAATGGCGTCGGCGAATTGAGGAGGAAAGAGAAGGACGAGGTGCCGGCTCCGGCGCCGGCGACGATGCCGGTTCAGCCTTCGGAGGAAGAAGTGGAGGAGTTTTTCACGATCTTGCGGAGGATGAACGTGGCGATTAAGTATTTCGATAAGGGTGGGACCGGGAGAGGTGGTGTTAACGCCAACGGCGACGGCGGTAAGAGGATGGGGCCGGAGATTTCCCAGGTGGAGGGATTGAAGATCGGGAGGGAGCGGAAGATCGCGGAAAATGGTGGGCCCAAGATCGGTTTGGATCTGAACTTGATGCCGGAATCGGAGATTTGACACAGAACCGGTCGTTGGCCTGCGGTCCGATGGTAGTTTTTTAATAGTTTCAGCTACCGCGGCACACGTTAGACGATGAGAACTAGTGAAGGCTAATGTCAGCCGGAAGGTAAAAACTACAAATGAATTACTACTACTGTTAAATTATCCTCCCAATAGACGACTTAAATAATCCTGTTATTTTCACTCCTCTTTTTTTTTTTTAATCTCGTTTTTTTTTTTCCCTTTTTTATTATATGAAAATGGGGATATATTGTGACTTGTGAAATAGATATATTCCTTGACTGTGTAAATAAAATAATAGTAGTAGTAGTAGTGAGTGGTATAATTTGACTTCCCACGTTGATTTTTATGCCTTAAATGGTAGTAGCTGCTAGAGTAGGCTAGCTATCAGATACTGGCTCAGGTCCCTCTTAAAAAACCTCATTGTCATAAGAAATAAATGAGATTTTGTCATATTTTTGGTTGGGTATCGCTTCTTCCATTTAGTGAAGAAGCTCCAGCCACTCAAATTTCTCATATTTGCCCTTTTCAGAAATCAGAATGTTGTGGAAGTCGTTGATATTCCCATAGGAGGGTTTAGTAATTTTGTTTATGGTGGTCGTAATTCGTAAAGTGACGCCAGCTTCTCTCGCAACTGAATTGAATCGTTTTGTTTCCTGAAAAATTATATATGTTGCACCTAATCTCAAAGTTCTATAGAGAAATCCTCAGGTGGCTCGTTTTTGAATTTTTTTTGTAGAATTGAAAATATTGGCTGTTAGGCATATAAGCTACTCCTAAATCATATGGTTGTTAGTATATTTTGTTGTAGAGGTACAATCTCAGTCATATTGTGGGTGGCACAGGACAAAGAAAATACTCTACTCACAGGAAAATATTGTAAAAAATTGAACCCTTATAACAAGTAAGAAAAAATATTTTTGCTTTTTTCATTTTTTTATCACTTGTGGAATATGGTATTTTTACTTAACTTTAGCTCCTTCATTGTACTCAAATAATAATAATAATAATAAGAAAAGGATGGAAATGGATGGAAAAGACTAAAGAGGTGTCATTTCAGATCCCTCGCTAAGCCCAATATCTTTCATCAGGACATCCCCATTGACAATGATGGCCAAGGGCCCTAAACCTCTAAATCATGTATTCTAAATTGCAGCAAAATAGACCCAAGATGACTCTAGTATCGTTCCAACTTCGTACCAGATAAAAACATATGGCCTTTAAACAAACAAGCCCGAGCTTCACTCTTATATCAACTGGGATAGTTTTTTACTATTTGCGAAAACTCTGGGTTGATGTAAATGCTAATTATAAGGATGGAAACATCACCTTTAAAGTTCTTTTTTTCCTTTGTCTTCCAACGGATGTCCTGCACCGTTATCCGACTAATTCAAATTTGAATTGGCCGATAAATATTTTAATCACGCTTCTATGCTCATGTCTGAGTTTGAACCTAGATCGCAGTTATATTATAAATTTGAATTTGAACTAAACAATAATTTTGAGAGGATGCCATTTTCCATACATATGCAACTGTGGGTAGTAGTTTCCATCCGCCTTAAACCAAGCCTTCGTCTCCAGTTTCAACCCTGGCCCATAAATGAACAAGTGGGGAGAAAATATCTAGATGGACCTATTTGTTGATTCCCTAGCGTGGGCCTGGATATCCTGAATGAAATAGTAGATAGGTGAACAAATTCAAGATGAATAACCTGAAGCCTGAGGAGTTCTAGTAAAAACACAAATCTCCCACTAAGAACAAGCGAAAAAAATGTTGATTTTTGTAATTATTATTGCACTCTACAGTCTCTATTTATCTCAAAAAAATTATTACACTCTATTTTGAAATAAAGCCTACAGTTTACCTATTAAGGGCGAGGCTTTTGACTAGATTATAAAACCTGTAAAAAAAAAAAAACAGAGTTGCATATATTGTTTCTATTTGATATGGTTATATAATTCTTCTTCTGTATTTGCAAAATAATTTATTTTGTTATACTTTCTTTCTATCCCACCAAAAAATAATTCATTTAGTTAACAAAGACAAATTTATTTATTTATTTTTTTAAAAAAAACACGTAGAATAAAATAAATATAACAATCATTGGGTGAATATACACTGAGAAGATCGATAAAATGTTGGTTGGATATTGAATTTTTTCAGTTTGTTCGTATCCAACTTTATTCATCAGAATAAATAAACTCCAGTAAAGTATACTATTTTGTTAAACTATATAGATTTCTTTTCCTTCAATATCTTTGCATATAAAAAGATTCTTATCTGTATCTTCTGGCCTAAAAATTTCTAGATAAACTAAAGTGTTTCCAAATCATTCTTCAAAAAATCCAGATTGACTTGTTGTCTATAAGTAATAATAATACACTGGATTCGCATGTTATTTTCACTGTTTTTCTCCTCTGCTTTAATCTACCTAAGATTTTCTTCTCTCATGGCGGTGAAGTGGTATAATCATCATTAAAAAAAAAATAAAACAAAACAAAAGGTGTGAATGTGTGATTATCATCATTCTTCCCTTAATTACCTTAACTTAAATACTTATCAAACTAAAAATATTCTATTAGCACTTAAAAAAAAAAAATACTTTCTCGTATTGTTTTATTTCAGCAATTTTTTCTGGTATGGAAGGAGTAACCAATAATATCTATTCACAATAACCGAACTATTTTAAGTGAATACTAGTCTACCTACGTGGAACATTTTCGGATTGAAATGGCTTTAGGTAATATTCAGCATCATGACAACCGACCCGTCGAGTCTAAAATGTTTCAGTTTTTTATTTTTTATTTTTTTTTGTGTGGGTTTCAAGTCGTGTACGATATTGATTTGGGACATTAGAATCCATCAATTTCTGGAAGCATTGGTTTGTGTTCATGTGTATAATTTAGACTTTAGACTCGTTCCAAATGATGCATTTTACATCAGTCCTATTTTGAACAGTCAATTTTATCATACAGATTAGTTTTAATAAAAATGATGTATCAATATGGACATGAAAATCAAAGACCAATAATTGGTTGCTCCGTATTCACCTGGCTTAATCGACTTTGATTAATCCATTGAAACAAATAATTGATGAAATCAATCTGTAACTTTGAGAACTAAAGTGAAAACATGATCCGAAATTACATGGCGATATGGCTCGCACCTTAAGGATGCTTCTAAGTTCCCACACTCTGGATTCATAATTATGTCCCAGGCCTCCAACACACAAAATCTTACACTAATATTGTAACGAACCGGCCATGATATGGTGTTGCTTAGGTTAGAAACGCCCTTCTGTTCTCGAAAGTTCTCCCCAACATTATTGTTCTTTAACATTAGACGTTTACAAAGAAAAATAATATGGAGCCAAACATTTTGGTAGTATTTGAGCGAATTTGTAAAGTTTTGAGGTTAGACTATGCACATGCAACCTTTGATGCGTGCTGAAAGTTTATCTCTTCTTTTTTTTTTACAAAAAAAAATAAATTAATCGGGGTGAATATTGTTCTATTTGGATCAAATAATTTTCATACCTTTAAGCTTCAGCCACCCACAACCATAATCATTAATTCAACGAGATTAACCTATTCTATTTCTAAGTTTTCTGAGTTTTTTTTTGTTTTCAGTTAAAAGGAAATTAATTAGAATTTCAAATGGCAAAGAATAGATTCCAAGAAATTTCATAGTGGCCAAAATGTTTCTCGAACATAGTTCAACAAACATAATTATGTTTCATGAAACGAAGGGTCCGTTAAAATTTAGCCATAATTAAAGTAGAAAATAATAAAAATTTTACACTATTTTTATTGATTCAATTACTGCTCTGATGTCTTATTTAAGCATACGCAGTATATTTTAGTATACCCCCGATTGAGAATGTGACGTAGATTGTCGACTTTAATTCAATGAGATTGTTCTCTTACGAAATCACGAGATGTTTTCATCATTAATGTTATGTTTTACAGTTCAATTTTATTTATTTTTTGGAAAACGTATTACAAAAAGGTATTCTGGAAAATAACATCTACATAATGAGGGATTCGCTTACATCGAAATTATATAAAAAAAATTGATTTCTGTGGAGAACTTTAGTTTGATGATGTTTGGCGGTACGAGAAATGAGACTAACTAATAACTACGAGAATACTAAATCATGATAAGGTTTTCATAGCGCACAAAGCCTGTTACACCGTATTTCAATCAAAATTTCGGTATCCTTTAGAATCCTAAATTTTGATATTTTTATCTTTTTTTTTCAATAACATGAAAAACCATATTCAGACAATGATAGACAATTTCAATAACATCATGTTCCAATCACAGTTTCACAAATGGTAGCGATACTCCTACTTTTGTCGTCCTCATCATTCACCTTAAATGATAAGTCTGCAAAAAATTTACTTCTCTTGCTAGGTCTTTTGATCTCCATTGTTTGAAAGAGATTTTTCTTTTGATTTTATGGTATGAAGTGAGACAGATACACCTAACCCTAGTGTCAGCTTACACATCCCAATTAATTTCATCTAAAAGCATTTCCTATAAAAGAAACAGTAAAAAAGTTAGCGGTCATATTCATTTTTCGTTTCCTTGATCAAATATCATTCTTTGATGTTCCAACTTCCAAGAGAACCGTTAGTTACAACGTAAATATACAAGATACTAGGGGTTTTACCGTTTTACCTATCTTCTAATCCTTGTTAACTAACAATGGGACTTTGATTAATCCCCAAAGGAAAATAAAAGATGCCATCTTCGTTAACTTGAAGAGTGAGGTGGGTGAGTCGTAGGATCTCATCCTTCTTAATTAAGAATGGACGGGTATTGTCTTTGGATAATCTTATAGGATGTCTTTTCAAAAACTCAAAATTATACGTGAATATTCTTATAAACAAATCTTACCACGTAAACTGGTAATGATATGTGTCATGTGATCCAGCTAACTAGCTAGCTTAATTAGAAGTGCCTTTAGTTGTAGCTAGAAATTGATCACAGGGTTATTATTATTATTATTATTATTATTATTATTATTATTATTATTATTATTATTATTATCCATAATTTATAACTCTCATTAAAACAAAAACCACTTTTTTCCTAAAAATCCAAGTGTCATTATCTCCTTAAAAGTCTCCTCTCTAAATTTTCCAAAAAGAAAAATACAAAAAAAAAACTAAAATGAAAAATCCGAATGGCAGTTTTATAGGCAAATTATCTGGTACACTTGGGGGCACCGTGTATCCCCCTGCGCGTGTACTTTACTCTTTTAGAATAGCGTGAGCTCACTAGATAATTCAGCTTTCTTTTTCTTTTTTTTTTTAAACGTGGCATATATAAATTACCGAATTCATTTAAATTTTGAAAACTTACTCTGCCAGTATTGACACTGTGGATTACCATTGTGCACAATATGGATAACTAGTTAAACATAGCTGGATAACCAGTGTGCACACTATGGATAACCATCTACACGCTATGGACAACCAGTGTTCACAATGTGGATAACCAGTGTTGGCAATATAGATAATTAGTTATACACAGTTGGATAACCAGTATTGACAATATGGATAATTAGTTATACACAATTGAACGTACCTTATTTCCATCATTTGGCAAACTGCCCCTCATTCATTTTTTGTTATCCATCATTTGGCAAAATGCCCCTCATTCAATTAAATACTATTTATGAAATTTGCCATGTTCGGCAGTGGGGCGGCGCAGCCGGGTTGTTTAGTTTATCACAGGGGGATTTATACAAGTAATTTGTGTCCCCTCTTAACGCAATAACACACTCTGCTTACACACACACGAAAAAAGGATTACCTTGGCTAAATTGGCGTGTTCGGCGGAGCGGCGCAGCCGGGACAGGTTGGTGACCTACGATTCCGGTAGCCGCGAGAGTCGTTTAGTTTATCATGGGGGGCGAAGCCCCCCAATTAACATGCAGTTTGCTTCTTTACCTCTAGATAACCAGTTTACACCTTCTGGATAATCAGTTTACATCTTCTGGATAACCAGTTTACACCTTCTGGATAACCAGTTTACACCTTCTGGATAACCAGTTTACGCCTTGTGGATAACCAGTTTACAACTTGTGGATAACTAGTTTACACCTTCTGGATAACCAGTTTACAACTTGTGGATAAATTATGGATAACCAGCAATTGTGTGTGTTTGTGCGTGAGGATAAAAATAATTTTGTTTGTGCATTTAATGTAAAGGTGAAAAATGTTGAGCGCGTGTAGTGCGTGTGTTTGGTGGGGGTATACGGTATACCCGGGTGCACTGGATATGGACTCGTTTTATACACCATAAGAACTTCCAAGGATAGTTTGTAGCGGTCGAAAAAAATATATATAAAAATGCTCTAATCTAAAACACAAATATACACATATATATATATAAATCTAAATGGCAGTTTTATACACCATAAAGAACTCGTAAGGGCAATTTGCGGTAAATAACTAGTTCTAGAGTTTCTCTCTCTGGGAGCTTTCTCTGAGAGTCTTTTTCCTTTTAGAGTCCTTCATGAAGCCTTTTTCATGGATTGATAATTTCCACCCGGAGATCTAAGTCCTTTTCAAATCGATTTTCCTTGTTTTCTCATCAAATCTCTTTCAATTCTCATACCATCTTCCCTAAACCTTCCTCTTCGTTTCTTCTTATATGAAATCATAATAACAAAAATCCTCTTTCTTCTTCAATTAAAATTCCCAATTCTTCTCGTATATGTTCGAAACTTTCGCTGTTGTTTCCTGTTTTCTAACCTATTTTAGTCTTGTTTCTTTTTGACTTTTGCATATCTTGTCTTTGCTGTATAGTTTGCACTAATCAACTTCTTATACTCGTTCCTCACTTGTGGTTGATCTGCTGGGTAGTTTTTGCCTGGATGGCTACTAGGGAGGAGTTAGAATCCATCATTGGGCGCTTATCTTTGAGGGAGACTGAATCAGTTCGCCATTCCACCAGTTCGTTGAATATTACTCATATTGATCCCTCCCTCACGATTGTTGGGAAGCTCCACTGCCTGAGAGTAGTTTCTCATGACTCCATTGGCACTCATTGCCAGAATATTTGGTCTCTTCGCCATGGATTCACAGTGAAACCTGTGGGTGACAACATGGTCCTCTTCAAATTCAATAACCGAATGGATAGAGCACGGGTTTTACATGGAGAACCCTGGTTATTGGGTCGGAAACACTTATTGGTGCTTAAACCTTCTGATGATCTCGATGCGGATTTCAATATGTACCCATGGTGGATCCAGTTACACAACTGTCCCTTGGATCTGATGAACGAGGATTTTGCTTATTATGTTGGCAACCTCATTGGACAGTTCATGGATGTTTTTCAGGATGGGGATCGCTTTATATTGGCCGTTTTCTTAGGATCAAGGTGAATATCAATATTCAAAATTCTCTAATGAGGGTTCTTCAATTTGAACATGAAGGAAAGGAGATCAAAATCCCGCTACAGTATGAAAGGCTGCCGGAGTTTTGCTACCATTGTGGGATTATTGGTCACACTGAAAGCGGTCGTCCGACAAGGCCACCTGTTGCCGGAAGTTCTGCTCTGCCGCCACAGTATGGTAGTTGGCTTAAGGCAACAGATCACTGGAATCCGTTTGTCTCACGACGTCCAGCACATGAACCAGGCCCTTCCCTCGTTCCTGAAGATTCGGATGAAGAAACTGTTCCATACCATGACCGCCAAAGCCACTATGTCGCCACAACAAGAAGAAACCGCATTCCATTATCCCACGTTCCATCAACATCCAATCCTAACCCTAATTCCACCAACTCCCCTCCTGCTTCTTCGCCACTTCCATGTGTCAATCTTTCCTCCGAAATGCCACCTTTAGCCTCTTTCCCGCCTCTTCCACATACTATTTCCCGCACTGTTATGCCACCTTCACCCTCTTATCCCACCACAACACCATGTCCATCAACCCCTCTGTCTCCGCCATCTAAAGGACAGTGTTCATCATCACCTGATTATGCCAATGCTTCTTGTCCAGTTTTCAATGATCCCCTTAACTCTCACAATGCGGTGGGTGCTCTGAATTCTCCAGGCAACCCTCCAAACATTGCTGCCATCACACATACTTCTCCAAAGATCGGAAACCTCTCATCACAATCTCACAGTTTGCTCAATAACTCAACTCACTCCTCCAAACTCCGTATTTTACCAGCGTCACTGTCAAAAGATTCTCCATCATCCTTGTCTCTGTCTTCCTCAATCCAAGACCATCAGAATGTCCCACATTCCACAATTCCACCTCCCTTCAGTCCTAATTTGACGATGGTTCCAATGACCCTTGATTCCACGATTCCACCTCCTCAGTCCTTGGAAGGCAGCCCACCGGTTGCAAACAGCGCGCCGTCTTCAAACAGCGTGCTTTCTTCAAACAGCAAGCTGTCAAACAACAAGCTGTCTTAAACAGCATGCTGTCTTTATATAGCGCGCTGTCAAACACCAACTTCTTCCTCCCTGATTGACAATGAAACGAGTCTAGTTTTTGATCATTGCTCCACCCCATTAGACCAACAGAATGTCACAAACTCCACAATTCCATCTCTCCTCAGTCCCTATTTGATGATGGTTCCAATGACCCTTGATTCCCCTGCTAGGAAGGCTGCCCGTAGGTTTCAAACAGCTCGCTGTCGCATTCTACGAAATGATTCTGTAAATATTCCCTCCTCAACTTAAGGAAAGCGCAAATTGTTTCTGGACGAATTCGATGGCCAGGATCTTCACATGGGGGATATCAAAGTAATTGGGAAAAAGCCCCGTCTGAATAATCTTGCTACCTCTGGTTTCTCTTCCTCTTCTCAACTTTCTATGGATGGTGGTGTGGTGGAGATTGGGCAATCGACCCAATCCCGCCCAGCTCCATGAGTATCTTAAGTTGGAACTGCCGGGGATTGGGGAGTTCCCGGAAGTTCGATGAGCTAGGCAAGATCGCCGGTGAAAAATCCCCACTTGTGATTTTTTTATGTGAGACCAAATGCAATCAAGCTCATATTCAACGTCTTAAACATAAGTTGGATATGTTTGGTGTTTGTGTTGAAGCGAATGGAAATTCGGGTGGTTTGGCTATGCTTTGGCAGAAGGAAATTGTTGTAAATTTGCGTGGTTTCTCTGATAGAATGATTGATGTAGATGCTGAATTGAAGGGTCATTCAATTCGGATCACAGGAGTTTATGGCCAACCTGATGTGTCACTAAGAAGGGAAGCCTGGAATCAGATGAAGTCGATGTTTGATCCTGACCGGAAACCGTGGGTTTTATTTGGTGATTTTAATGAAGTTATGACACAAGAAGAGTTTCAAGGCATCCGTCCACGAGCTAATTGGCAAATCCATCATTTTCGTGATGCGATCTTGAACTCTAGGATATGGGTTATGAGGGTTATCAATTTACTTGGCAGCGTCTCCTCCCTCATCCGCAAACTCAACAAGCACGCCTTGATCGTTCAACTTGCAATTCCAACCTCTTTCAGCTATTTCCATGGAGTTCTGTGTCTCACATTCCTACGTTCCTCTCTGATCATATGATGTTACACATCCAATTGCGTGATCGAGGAGTTGCACATCAATCGGGTCGGAAACGGAAGCCTTTTCGTTTTGAAGCACATTGGGTGCGTGTTGCTGATTATGGAAAAATCATTGAGGAACATTGGAACTTTGACCTTGGAAACTTGGAGGATAAATTGGAGCATGTCCAAGTCGGTCTTCTGAATTGGAGCAAGCATCACCAAACTGATTTTGAGAAGAGAATTATTTTCCTGAAGAAAGAAATCCTGATGTTGCAATGGGGAAGAATTGATGACCCACAACGTTCGAAGCTGGGTGAACTCGAAAGAGAGCTGGATTTGTTGTTAGAAAGAGAAAATCTTAGGTGGAAGCAAAGGGCCAAGCAACATTGGTATACGGAGGGAGACCGTAATACCAAGTTTTTTCATGCTTTCGCCAACAAACGGAAGTCCATAAACCACATTTCAGGCCGTAAAGATAACTTGGGGAATCTAAAACATGAAACTTATGATTTGGAGAGTATTATAATGGACTACTATGGCTCTCTTTTTTCTTCTTCTCGCCCCCTTGAGTCTGAAATCCAGCGAGCTGTTAGCAGATTGCATTCAAAAGTGACTTCGGATATGAATGGTCGACTAATGCAAACTTATACAGGAGATGAGGTTGTAAAAGCGCTTAAGAAAATGGCATCCTTCAAATCACCCGGCCTTGATGGTATGAGTCCAATTTTTTTCAAAACATTCTGGCATATTATAGGTAATGATGTTACCTCCTTTGTTTTAAATTTTTTATATTTAGGTGATTTTAATCCTTGAATGAACTAAACTCATATAGTGCTAATTCCAAAAGTTAAAAAACCCGACATTATTACTCAATTTCGTCCAATCTCTTTATGTAATGTCGTGTACAAATTCTGCTCTAAAGTCATTTCTAATAGGTTGCGTTTACTTCTTCCCTCCATCATCTCTGAGTCACAGTCTGCCTTTGTTCCGGGTCGTCTAATAACTGATAATGTCCTTCTGGCTTATGAAACTCACCACCATATGAAAGTTCGTCCTAAATACAACACTGGTTTAATGTTGATCAAATTGGATATGAGCAAAGCCTTTGATAGAGTTGAGTGGTGCTTTTTGAAATCAGTTTTAAAAGCTCTAGGGTTTTGCGAAGCTTTCATTAACCTGATCCACACATGTCTCTCATCTGTTCGATTTTCTTTCATTCTGAATGGTGAACAATTTGGTAATCTCATATCAGAGAGAGGGATTCGTCAGGGCGATCCCCTCTCCCCTTATCTTTTTATCCTTTGTTCGGAGGTGTTTTCTTGTTTACTGCAGGATCTTCAAAACTGTGGTCACATACATGTTGTTGGTGTTACTCGGGAAGCTCCTAAACTTTCTCACCTTTTCTTTGCCAATGACACACTACTTTTTGGCCATGCAACGGAGAATGAAGCACACTATTTTCAGTGGGCTATTCAACTCTATGAGCGAGTGTCAGGCCAAAGAATTAATTCGGAAAAATCTAGAATATTATTCTGCCCTAATACTCAAGACCATATTAAAACTTCGGTTTGTAGCATCTTCAGAATTCCTGCAGTAGAGAGCCATGGCAAGTATCTGGGATTACCATCAGTTGTCGGCAAGTGCAAGAAAGAGGTGTTTTCAAGCATAAAAGATAGGGTTTGGCAACGGCTACAATGTTGGAGTTCCAAATCACTTTCTAGGGCTGCGAAGGAGATATTGATTAAATCTGTAATAAAATCCATCCCTTCTTATGCAATGTCTTGTTTTCTGTTACTAGATAATGTTTTGGAAGATCTACAATCCATGTCCAACACTTTTTTCTGGGGTGGCTCATCAGACGGAAGGAAAATTCACTGGTCTTCTTGGTCATCAATGTCCCATAGCAAGAAAGATGGAGGGTTGGGTTTTCGTAACCTGAAGGCTTTTAACATGGCAATGTTAAGCAAGCAAGCTTGGAAGCTCCTCACAACACCACATTCCCTACTTTCCCGTGTTTTCAAAGCTAAATACTTTCCGTCGCAGAAATTCTTTGATGCCAATCTTAGATCGAGACCCTCTTGGACTTGGCACAACATTCTTTAAGGAAGGAAAGTTCTGGAAATCGGTTGCAGGAAACAGATTCGGAGTGGCAGTTAGACCAACATATGGTATGACAGATGGATTCCTCTTGAGTCCTCTTTTCGTACGACTTCAACTCCGCAAATTCTACCAGCTACAGCAACTGTTTCAGACTTAATGCTTTATGATCCTATGGATTGGAACATGGATCTTATCTCTTCAATTTTCCCTCCTTTGGAAGCTGCAGCAATCCTGTCCATGGCACTACCACAAATTCAGTTCACTGATCGATGGATTTGGCATTACACTAAGAAAGGTCACCATACTGTCCGCTCTGCTTATTTTCAGCTGCTGTACTCTTCACAATTCAGTCATCAAACCAGATCATCATCAGCTATGCCGACTGGAATTCGTGATCTCCTTTGGAAGAAGCTGTGGAATCTGAAGGTCCCAAATCGTATTCTCCTGTTTGCCTGGCGTCTCTGCAACAATGCTCTCCCAACTCCAGGAAATTTGGCCCTCAGACATTTGAACTTTGACTTGTCATGTGTGTTCTGTCATCAGAATTCAATGTACAATTGCCACATCTTTTTTATTGTCCGTTTGCTACACAAGTCTTCAGAATTGCCGGCCTTCATGATCAGATTCTCTTGCGGAAACGCACGCATTGTGATTTATGGTTACGTGCTTTGATACTGGATAATCATTTTGCTTCTGCCTCCTTCCTAATCACTTTGCTTTCAGGGATTTGGCAAGCTCGGAACATGAAGTTGTTTGATCAAACGGCAATTTCTCCTTGGGCGGTTGTCCTTCAATCCAGCAGAACAGTTCGTGATTTCATGGAGTTGAGAGCAAATCAGGATCGGGCGGATCAACATCTGCAAACCATGCCAATTTCAGCCCCCTTCACCTAATGCCATTCGAGTTTATTTCGACGGCTCGATCTCTCACACTGGTAAAAGCGCTGGAGCTGGAATAGTTATCCAAAATCCAGAAGGTCAGTTCATGCATGGTTTATCCCGTCAATTTCCGGATGTCATTGATTCTGATTTAGCGGAAGCCCTTGCTTTGCGAGAAGCTTTACTTTTCTATCGAAGGCTTGGTTTTACAAATGTGGCTATTCAAGGCGATTTGTCTTTAATCATTTTGGCAGCTATGAAGGAGACTGACGGTCCTTCTGCCTGTGCTCCTGGTTTAGAAGACGTAATCTATATTTATCACGATTTACAGGTTTCTCATATTTCTTGGATTCCGCAAATAGCTCATTCTCTTGCTAAGTTTGCCAAATCGGCCTCTGTAATTGAAACGGTCTGGAATACTCTCCCAGATTTTGTTTCTCAATTGGTGCTGGACCATCTCCAGTAATCGTTAATGAAAGTTTGTTTCGTCTAAAAAAAAAAGAGGGCAATTTGCGGTAGTCAAAAATAAAAAATAAAAATTGCTCTAATCTAAAACACAAAAAAGAATTAAAAATAAATTAAAAAATGTGAATAGTAATTTTATACACCATAAAGAACTCCTAAGGGCAGTTTGCGGTGGTCAAAAAATAAAAAATAAAAAATGCCCTAAAAAGTTAATTTCAATACACCATTGATATGGTCTAAAAAGTTAATGACGATGGGTATAAATGTTTTATTTCTCACTTTGAGGAAAGTTACCTAATTTGGGTCCTCTAATTTTATTTTTAAGAAAATATTCATACTATAGTTGACCATAGTCATTTTGGGTTATTGACGTACTTTTTACTAACTAATTTATACTATTATTGACTAAATCGTTATACAATACTATTTTTTTCCCGAAAAAGGACATAATAAAAATTTACTTTTATTAATTATATTTGAAAATATAATTAACTAAATTCATAAAAAGTTTCATACACGTGCGAGTGCACGGGTCAAGAACCTAGTTATTATTATTCAGTAAATGCCATCATATATAGGCTCAGATTTCAGTAACACAACCATGTTGGCATAAAGTTAATCTCAATTTTTTTAACCAATTTTTTTTTAGAAAAATGATGATGATTGATGATGATGTTTCGGTTGAATTTTCTTCTAGTTGACATAAGACGAAGATTACTCTTTTCGTTGTTCGCAAGTGTTGTAGTTAAGAGCACAGTGTGGAATGAAAATCGCAGAGCAAAATGTCCCTCCATCTTAAGTTATTTCATGCATAAAATAAACACAAAACATCATACTGGGAACTGAGGAGTTTTCAAAAGTTAGTTATTATACAATTAAGTGACCTTTTTCTTTCATACTGGATTTATGCTCTTTTTTTTTCACTTGAGAATAATCAAACCTGGGAGCTTATTCCCCTTCCTATTGGTAAGAAGGCCATAGGTTGTAAATGGGTGTATAAGGTTAAATGTAATTCTGATGGGACAATTGAAAGGTATAAAGCAGGCTGGTGGCTAAGGTTACAACCAAATTGAGGGTAAGGATTTCTTTGAGGTTTTCTCACCAGTGGCTAAAACAGTTACTATCAGGTTATTCTTAGATTTGGCAGTTGTGTCCAGATGGCAAGTCTATCAATTAGATGTTAACAATGCATTTTTGCATGGTGATCTAGAAGAGGATGTTTACATGCAGCCACCTCCAGGGTATACAAAAGATGTTCCTGGTTTGGTTTGCAAACTCAGAAAGTCCTTGTATGGCCTTAAACAGGTTTCAAGGCAATGGAACAACAAATTTACTAGTTTGTTGCAGAATTATGGTTTTCATCAGTCTTACCATGGTTCATGCTTGTTTATACTTCATAAGCATGGAGTGATGCTCATTCTCTTGGTCTATGTTGATGATATCATCATCATTGGTTCAGATAAGGGTAAAATTAGCAAGGTCAAAAGGCTCTTGGATGACACCTTTATCATCAAGGACGTAGGACCAACAAAGTACTTCCTTTGTATGCAAATAGCCAGGAGTGATAGTGGCATGTACCTGAGTCAGACTAAATACATTAATGATCTTCTCAGAGATACTGGAATGTTAGATGCTACTCCCACATCAAATCCTTTTCTCGAGATTTCAAGTTCCAGAAGAAAAATCCCACACCCCTTTATACAGATGCAGCAGCTTACAGAAGACTAGTAGGCAGACTCTTGTATTTGGGGTTTACAATACCAGATTTGACTTATGCTGTTCAACAGCTTACTCAATTTGTTCATCAGCCGCATGAATCTCATTGGAATGCAGCCATGCACCTTTTGAGGTATCTCAATGGTTCAGCAACTTAGGGCTTATTCTATTCTTCTGATTCTGGAACAGCTCTAACAACATATTCAAATGTTGATTGGGGTTTCTGCCAGTTTTGTAGACATTCCTTGACAAGATATTGCATTTTTATGGGTTCATGTCTCATTTACTGAAAAACGAAGAAACATGCAACTATCTCCACTTCCTCAGCTGAAGCTAAATACAGAGCAATGGCTTCATGTCTCATTTACTGAAAAACGAAGAAACATGCAACTATCTCCACTTCCTCAGCTGAAGCTGAATACAGAGCAATGGCAGCCACAGTTCAAAAATTGAAATGGTTATCCTATATCATGAAGGACTTGTCCATTTCACCTTCTCTTCCTATTCCTTTTTTGTGTGACAGTAAAGCAGCTCTCTATATCACTGCTAATCCCGTCTTCGACAAAAGGATGAAACATATAGAGATCGACTGCCATGTTGTAAGGGATTCTTACAAGGCTGGATTTATCAATCCTGATCATATCTCCTCATCTGAGCAGGTGGCGGATTTGTTCACTAAGTCACTTTCTGCTCTTGTTTTCCATCATCTTTTAGGCAATCTGAGCCTCTAGAATTCATCCTCGGCTCTTCTTGAGGGGAGGGGGGGGGTGTGAAGGAATTACAGCTTGAAGACTTGAACGATGATCAGGTTGATCACAAGACTACCGTTGTTAGCAAGATCGAAGTTGTTAATATGGTTTCTAACCAAAAAGATGAGTGTAGCTGTATATTCACGGATATACCCTTTTGATTGTATATAGAGACATTGTTAGTAAGGATAGAATAGACATTTCACATGTTTGAGGAAGTTGGTCGGTTAGATCAACTGTTTATAAATATGTTGATCATTAGATGTAAATGATGTAAGTTTTCAGACGCATTAAACCAAGATTCAGTTACAGAAGTTAATTCCCTTTCTCTCTCGTCTTAACCCTAAATTTCATCAATACTTCGAGCTTGATCTCGCTCATGGTCGTTGTACGGATTCTGGGATGTTAAATAAATTAGAATAAGCTTCATATTTGGCTACACATAATAAATGTGAAAAAGTAATATTTGCAACTTATGGGAATTGGCTCATTTTTTTTACTTTGTTTTCTAGCCCAATAATATTTATGATTTTACAAAAATACATGTATTTTTTCAAATACAAATTTGTTCTTTTATTAGAAAATTTAAATCCGACCGGACATTTGTCGGGGCCAAGCATTTAATTTATATCACAAAAGATTCCAGATAGGTGCTATTAATCACATCTCTACTTGTAATCTCTAATAACGCTTGGGCAGATATATCAAAAAAAGTAGTCCCATAAAGTGTTGGAATATTCCTAATTATGGTATATGGTCAGTAGCTTGATTTTGCCTCTCTGGGGATATAAACTATACGGATATTCCAAGGTGCGTCGCTGCTCAAAAGTTTGATCCTGCCTTGGATGTTCTAAACTCGCTGGATCTGTGATAACTAGGATGGCTTCTATACTTTCCTAAAATCTCATTTGATTAGCTGTAAATTTAGCTTGTACGTAGTTGATAAATTAATGATAATGTAACATCGTAAGATGTGACTAGCTACCAGCCCAAGGATTTTATATAATTAAACCAGTTGCAACCTTATATAACTTACCTTTCGATCAATTTGTATCAACTAATCTGCACATGGAAGAAAGAGTAAACTAATGAATTACGTGCAGACCCCCACGTTGTTACGATTGATCATCTAATAATGACTTTATTTATTTCTATTAACTCAACTTGATTGATTTAGTCATCCTCGTGAGGAACAAACAACAACTTGTATATATCTATTTTTTCTTTGAAAGATACGCAAGGAATAAATTATAGGAAAGAACCATGACTAGAATGTGTATAATTCGTTGCAAAAGTTGTTGAACAGCAATTTTATTTTTATTTTTAGACAGATTTAGGATAGGTTCAAAGACTAATAATGCAACGCAATGACTGTGTAATCGGTATTTTTATTATTCATACAATACGATCTATAGTTGAGAAAATAGGCAAATTATGCTATCAAATCGGTATTTTATATCATGTTTGTTGGAGTTCTAATATATTATACCACCAAATCGATATTTTATGTCATGTTTATTGGAGTTCTAATATATTATGTGTATGACGAAGAAGGGAGGAAGACACGAAAGCGCGAAACTTTGTGACCATTGTAATTCAAACGAAGGTTTTAGCCATTAACAGAGGATTGGGGATAAAGTTTCAGAGTGTTATTTCAATAATCACATAATCAATGTGTCAGTATATATACGGAACAGTAACTACCATTAACCTGTGTTAATTACTAACATACCCTTCTATATTTACACACTAGGAACACAGTTTTAACTATCTACAAAGACACCCCTGGATTAGGAAAAACTATGTACACTAGATATGTACAAACAGCAACATCAACAACAACAACATCTTGTCACTGATTTCTTCAATAATTAATATCAATCATGTGAAGCAGCTGCCATCATTTGTTTTTTTCGTTATTTTTTTAAGGAGTCATTTGTTTGTCTGGGTATAGAAAGTCAGCTATGACAGCTTGCGATTATGCTTCTAAATTGACCAAATATTTTTTAAAAAATGAAGAAAATAAAATTAAAAAAAGATTAATTTGTCTGGCCCCAGTGTAGGGGGCTCTGGTACCATATGGAAGAAATTGATAGTATATTTTTAGTGTAGGATACAATGTATTGCATATGAAGTTCTGCAGTACCATATATATATAATATTATCTATACTTTAATTATGTTTCTATGAGCATCCAAGGCTCTAATTATTGTCCTTTTAATCTATTTTAATGTATTGCATATGAAGTTCTGCAGTACCATATATATATAATATTATCTATACTTTAATTATGTTTCTATGAGCATCCAAGGCTCTAATTATTGTCCTTTTAATCTATTTTTTAATCTCTTGTGCCCATCTAAATGTTATCAGGACAAACCGACTAGTGTAGTTATAATATACTAATCAAAATCAACTTCATTGGAGTCATCACCTCCATTGGAGTCTTTTATTTCCTGCTAAATTCTTTCTTTTATTCAAAGAAGTAAGACGGGCTGCAACGGCATTTCCATCTCTCATTTCATTTCAGTTTCAACGCCCTTTTTCCATCTCTCTCCCTCTCCCTTCAATTCTAATCCCTTCCCTTCCTTTCCACATCATTCTCCAAACTGCAAGCATAAAACATGGTGTCCGACCGCGTTGATACTTCTTATTTTGATTCTGCCATGGAAGTAGCGGAATCGGGGTGGCGAGGATTCTATTATCCTCAACGCGGGCACATCTTATTTGACAGTCTGAGAAGGACATTAGCAATGCTCAAATCATTCTTTGTTGTTTTCTCCCTAAAACTAGACCATCTGCAAAATGCCAAGCTGGCATCTTTCTTACAAAAAATTGAACAAACTGTTCGTCGACATGCAAACCAATTTCATCCCCTTCCCCTTGGTGATGATGGTTATATTACTCCCGAGCAGGGTAAAGTGTTCCATCAGTTTCAATTAGACGTTCTCCGATTTCTGAATAAAGCTCAAAAATGGTACATCACTATGGAGGATTCGTTGCTGCGACATTCCCTTGTTACTGTAGGTGAGATCTCCGCAATCATCGACTCCAACTTGGGGATACTAGAATTCATCAATTCCAATTTGAAGATTGAAACAATCCGCTTTTTTGATGGGCTGAATCACCCCGAGGAGGAACCCACTCAGATTATCAAGGCAGAAATGACTTTGTGGATGAAATTCTTGCGAAGTCTCATCTGCTTTGCTCATGAACCCACTCAAACTTTGTTGGCTCACGCTGAAGCCGTTTCTATCCATTTAAATCTCGTTTTTATGCGGAATTTGGAGGACGCACTTTACGGGCTTGAAGTGTATCTTGTACACAATGCACGGTACGAAGAGGATGATGATGGAGAGAGCGATAAAGTGAGACTGTTAGCATTGGTGGAAAAGATCAAGCCTAGTAATCTTCTCAGTTCTGAGACATACAATCAAGCCCTCAGGAGCTCAAAGTTGTCGAGACAATCACTTTCTTCCACTCCACAAGACATGGATGATGGCACCTTCATTGCAACAGATAATTTCCTTTATTCTCTCATTTCTGTCCTTTGGGAGATGCTACGACGAAACACTGGTAGTGTGGTTTCTAGCAAGGATCACCTGCGAGAGTTCTTCGAAGGACTTAGATCATTAAGAAGCATTCTCTGGCAGCAGAAAGCGCAACAGCCAAACAACATTATTCCAGACATTGTTGAAGCAGTATGTGATGCCGGGGTTTTATGTTCTTCCCTGAATCAGACAAATATGGAACCAAACCTTGGGATGTTTCAGGATTTCACGGAAACAATCAGCTCAATCCGAACAAAGGTTGGTGGGGCGGATCCACAGCTACCAACATTCAACTTTCCCACTACTAATCAGTTGGGTTTTGTGGACTTTGTGACGCAAAAGCTGATTGAGCTAACAAGTGGCAAAAGTCAGCATGTCCAAACTATTCATGATGAACTTGTCTCCATAAGACCTTTCTTGGGGGACATTGTGAAGTTGCATCGCCAGCATGAGGAACTCCAAACTCTCTGGGACCGTATTTTGAAGATGGCTTATAAGGTGGAGAGTTTTATTGACTCCCTACTGGTTGATACTTCAGATGATCTTTTTTCTGGGTCATTTGATTCCATCATGGAAGACATCAGAAATATTAAGATGGAAATGCAAGTTCGGAGGCCAGAAATCGAAAGCAGAAGGCCAGAAATCCAAGCTGTGAAGGAAGGAAGTGGGAAATGGGATCCTGTGGTATCACAAAAAACAACTTTGTTGACCCCGACAGATGAGGTTGTTGGTTTGGTTGATGATGCAAAAGTAATCATGGATCAGCTCAAAAGAGACACAAAGCAGTTAAGAGTTGTTGCCATTGTGGGTATGGCCGGACTGGGCAAGACCACCTTCGCATCAAAGATTTACAATCATAGTTCTATTTCGCACCGCTTCGCTGCTCGTGCATGGTGTCCAATCTCTCAAGTGGTGAACAAAAAGAATGTGCTCTCAGAACTTATGAAGCAAATTGATCCTCGAGTAGATCTTTCCGAGCTCAAGGAACAAGATTATGAAGAAAAGCTCTGGCGCATGTTAAAAGGAAAAAAATATCTCATATTTTTAGACGATGTATGGGATATGGAAGCGTTGGACAGCTTGACAATATCATTCCCAGATGACAAGGTCGGAAGTAGAATTCTTTTGACAAGTCGATATGAAGATGTTGTTCCTGAAGAGATGCTACTTGATGGGAAAGTTCATTTGCTCAGGAACCTCAATGGAGAGGAGAGTTTGGAGTTACTGAATAGGAAGCTATCCCCTAGAGAGGAAGATTTGAATAGCGATCTTGTGAAGCAAATAGCGGTATATTGTAAGGGATTGCCGCTAACCATCATGATCGTAGCTGGACTTATGGCAACCACAGGACCAAAAGGTTGGGAACAAATCCGGGATGATTTAAGCTCAGGAAGTGCATCTGTCACTGAGCACTGCTACGAAACATTGGAGAGAAGCTACGGACACTTACCAGATTATTTAAGGCCATGCCTCCTCTATTTTGGTACATTTCCAGAAGATGAGCGTGTTTCAGTTGAGAAGTTGCTGTATTTGTGGATCGGCGAAGGTTTTGTTCGAGAAGTTGAGGGAAAGCGCAAAAAAGATGTTGCTGAGGAGTACTTGAAAAGTTTGATTGGAAGGAGCTTGATTTTTGTTTCCAGGGGAATATCAGATGTTGGAGCCGAAACTTGCTACGTTCACGATTTGGTTCATAGTTTTTGCTTGCAGAAAGCTGAAGCTGAACAGTTCTTCCACTTAGTGAAAGGTGTTGATGAGCTTAGGAACTTCAGTGAGCCGTGCAGCTTGCGGAGGTTATGCATACATTCTGAACCCTCTCATTTTTGGGAATCCAAGTTGTTTAGTCCTCGTGCACGTTCTTTGCTTTTCCACCGCCACAAATCAGAAACTGGGTGGCTTCCTCCGGTAACAGACGCTTCCTTCGTGATTGGAATGTGCAAACTTTTGATGGTGTTGGATATGTATGACATGACGTTATTCTCGGAGTTTCCAAGTGATATAGAAGAGCTTGTTCAGTTGTCATTCCTAGCAATCTCCGGCCATTTCCTTTCCATCCCATCATGTATAGGTAAGCTCACAAATTTGGAAACTCTCATTCTGTGGACACCTTTCGACGAGCTTTCATTCCCTGACAGTCTTTGGAATCTACGGAAATTAAAGCTTATTGAATTTTCTGGCTCCAAGTACTATGGCGGGTTTGTCATTTCCTTGGAAAATCTCGACAACTCACCCGTGTTATGTGAGTTGGAAAAATTTTGGAGGTTAAGAATTCCTTTTGGGAGCAACATAGAATTACTGATGAGAAAGTTTCCAAACGTTGGTAGTTTGAAATTCATTGTTTGCCAAGGTGATGATGGAAGTGGAATGGATTCTAACGGAATCATATTTCCCGACTTCCTGCTTCAACTTGAATCACTTGAACTGTCATGGGATGGGGGTTTCAGGTGCGATGGTGAATTTGAGCTGAGTTTTCCAGCATCTTTGAAAACATTGACATTGGACAGCTGTGATTTCTGTTGGGGGGCTTTCTCGATTATTGGTAAACTGCCAAATCTCGAAGTCCTCCGATTGCATTGGGTTACCTTCAAAGAGGGGATTTGGGAAATGAAAGAAGGGGATTTCTCTAAACTTAAATTCTTGAGATTGTATCGCTTGGAGAACCTTGCCAGATGGACAGCTGACAACGTTGAATTTGGCAGTCTTGAGATCTTAGTATTGAGCTGGTGCACCAAGATTGAAGAGTTGCCTGATGGTCTGGAAAAAGTGGTGACACTTAAAATGATTGAGATCGATCATTGCACAGAGACAGCACAAGATTGGGCAAGACAAGTTGAGGAGAAACAGGTGGAAGATTGGGGAAATTCAGAGTTTAAGGTCATTATTTCTTCATGAAAATGGCCTTTTCTACTGCTGTTTCCTTTTAAACTTTGTAGTGACTTTCCTTTGTATCTCTGATTACACCTCTTTTCTACTGTTGTTTCCTTTTAAACTTTGTAGTGACTTTCCTTTGTATCTCTGATTACACCTTTGTGTTCATGAATTAATGTGGAATGTTGTTTTTTTTAAAAAAAAAAAAAAAAAAAAAAATCCATTCCAGTGAACCCTACTTAAATATGGGTAAAATCCCCCTTACAAGCCCTTAAGGGAATCGAACCCTAGTCTATTACCAGGAAGGACATCAACTTAACCACTAGGCTGTCATTCAATTCCCTGGTGTAATGTTGTTCTGTTTCTGTGGAATGTGAATAAGAAATTTTACTATGAATTTCTTTTCCAATTGCTCTGCTCTCAAACTAGGCACTCTTCATAATCAATCAAAAAAGAAACCCAAAATAAAATCAAAGACTCAACGGAATTTTAGAAAGTAGGTACCTAGCTGATCAACTACTAATTAGTATTTATACAAAATGCAACCCCGACTCAGTTCACATAACAATCAAAAGAGTTAAAAGCTTTACATAATCGCCCTGGACACTAATTTTCTAGTCGCACCCTTAGAATAACTTGGATATAAACAAAAGGATGACATCGCTCTAATATTAAAGGACATAAGAAAAGGATAACAAAAGGATAGTCACTTTCTAGTCGCCTCTTGGTAGTCACATTTTTGGCCCTTGTGTTGAACTTGTTAATCGACGTTTATTTTACCAACTCAATTTCACACTGTTACACTTATCTTTTCTTTGGTTTCTAATATAGCGTTAAAAAATGACCTCTCATACTAAGAAACCTGTCAAAATTGCCTCTGTTTTTTTGGGTTTCTAAGTCAACAGTAGAGCCACGCGTCATGAGCTTCGTTTCCTTGGAAACCAAGTGTTGATTCATCTCACATCTCGTGAATCTGGTTCTCTCAATTGCAAATGGCAAAACGAGTGGGATAACTCGCAAGATAATTTAAATCTCCTCGATGTTCATATCTACTCCTTTTGTTCCATAATTATTGTCCAATTTAGGTTTTCATTTCTAGTTCAAATTATATTAAAAATAAAATTTCAAATTAGATGATTTTGGGACAAAAGGAGTATGTAATAATTTTTAGCTCTTACTTATAGTTAAGGAATAAAATTTCAAATTAGATGATTTTGGGACAAAAAGAGTATGTAATAATTTTTAGCTCTTATTTATAGTTAAGGATGGGAGAATCACTTTCCATGTTCTTCATCGATTTTTTAGTTTGCATGTGTTGGATGAGCCCAAGGCCGATACTATCATTTGATTGGCCCATGGACACAATGAAAAAAGGCCCTAAAAAGAATGAAAACGCTTATTATATAACATTAGTATCCATCGTGTACCTGCTTCACGTGTTTAGGAGAACGATTTTTTGTACGATATTGCAATATTATTATTTTTTTAGAGGAAAAAATAGAAGAAGTAATTAGAATGATAATGATTTTTATTCTTGAATAAGAACAATACAATAGTGAAAATATTTGGGAGAACATCATGTTTCAATAATATAAAATTTTGCTATTTTTTATTTTTTATTTTCTTAAGAGAATCATGTGGGCTAGCGATTTTTCTTACTCAGTTCATTTTTTAAAATGAAGTACACGTAAATTATAACAAGTTTAAGCTAGATTTTTTAAAGATTATGGTCCCTTAAATTATTAAAAAATTTAAAACAACATTTAATCCTAATATAATATTAATAATTAAGTTGGGCTCCTCTCTAGAGTTGGGCCTTGGACGGTCGCTCTTTTTGCCCCTGTCACGCACGGATGGCCAGAATTGGGAATCTTAAAAGATTAGGGTTGCCGCGGTAAACAGGAGAAATTAGAGGATGAGAAAGGAGAGAAGAGCAGTTTAAGAAACTTCTCGAAGAAGGAAACTGATTATCATTCACTAATCATTACAGCTCATCATTACAGTATTTATATCTAATCATTGAAATGTAATACAACTACCAAACCAGAATTATTACTCCAATCAGCATTAGTGACTTGTACTTACTTTTGACCCCTCCGATTTACAAGAATTCCAATCAAACTCCTGATCATGACAACTCCATCCTCCATAACACCCAGCTTGTCCTCAAGCTTGGAAAGTAGGAATCTGGCTGTGAATAAACCCTTCATCCTCCCAGGAAGCGTCTTCTAAGGTCATTCCCTTCAACAATATGAGCGATTGGGTAACCCTTGCTCCATTTTGACGAGCCGTCGTCACACTAGTCAAATATAAAATTACCTACTTAATACAATTACTAGCAGTAAAGTAACAAGTAAGGTCGATCCCACAAGGAAGGAAACCAAGTACTGGTTAAAATTATTTCTTGTTATTACCTAGATTAACAAATTATCAGACTCCAAACTAATCTAAACCTAAAACTAAGAATTAAAATTAAAATAAAACCTAAACAATTAAGCAGAAGAAAACCTAGGGCAAATGGTTCACCTACCGACTATTCAGTTTAATTTAATCTATATACTTGTGACTTTGGACTTTCATTAATCTCACAACGATTCACTTATTTAAGAACTATTCACTGTCATGATATAATTCTCTTACTCAAACTAACCCTATGACTACTGTCGTGACTAGGGGTGCAAACGAGCCGAGTCGAGCCCGAGTTTTCCTATATTCGAACTCGGCTCGAGCATTTTAATACTAAACTCGAGTTTGGCTCGAGCTTGATCGAGCCAACAAAAATTGGGATCGAGCACAGCTCGATCGATTTGTAGCGAGCTCAAGCTCAACTCGTTAAACTCGAAAGGTAAAGCCTTAAAACAGAACCAAAAAGGCAATAATTTTGGAATATTAACAATCTTGCAATTCCGAGCAAAGTCAAAAGAATTACTAGCCAACCAGAAGAGAAATCAAAGTAACTGTATCCATTAATCATAAAAAGGACCAAAAGAAATATATATATATATAAGTGAATGTAGAAATGAGAAGGAATTCAGAAATGAGAGAAGAGGAATATAGAACAATTCCTTTAAATCTAGAAGGAATTCCTTCACGGGTTTGATTACGGTGGAAAATGCCTTTATGGTTTTTGCCGATTCCAAATTCTCATGGTGAATAAAATTCAAAAACCATGAGGTTTGTCCTCAATAAAAAAAAGTTGGGAAAATAATATCACAGTTGTTCTCTATTTGATTTGGTTCAAAACCAAAAACTAGAATGTGATAAACTGATGATGAAATCGGCTGGATTTGGATTGAAAAAATGAGATGGGTTTGTCGGTGAGAGAATGAGGAGAGAGTGAGCAGGAGTAGTTCTGGGAAACAATGAAAGCGGAGGAGAGAGAAATAAGAAGAAGAAAAGCTCCCTTAATAACTTAATAAGAATGGACCACATGCACTAATTAGTTAACATATATATTAGTCGGCTAACATATATATCGGCTCGGTTGGCCCAACGAGCCACTCGAGCAAGCTTCATCCAGGATCGAGCTTGGCTCGTTTCAATAATTTAGCAGCTCGAACTCGACTCTAGCTCGAGCGAGTTTTGACCGAGCCGGCTCGCGAATAACTTGCGAGCGGCTCGGCTTGTTTACAGCCTTAGTCGTGACTATAGAATTTAATTAGAGTAAATTAAGAACCCTAGAATCTATAGTTGCAAAGGCGATGTTTCGACTATCGTGGCCCACTATTTAAGTGTAATATTCCCATGAACTAGTGCTAACCTTCAACCACCGTTCCTTCAGTTAAACACCTTAAAGCATGCAAGTGGTGATCAAATACTCACATAGAATAAAATCAAGAATATTAAACATCAACTAATGAAAAAATCACAATCATAAATAAAAATTAAAATAAATAGTACGGCGGCTCATCTAAAACCCTAATTAAATAGTTAGCTACTATACATCATCTACAAGCATCCCACATATATTAAAATTCATTGTTCTAAATTATAAAAATAATTTAGACAATAAATTAAAATAAATGGAGGAAAAATAAATCTGCTCCAAAAGCATTGAACTCCAAAATTTATTCCTTCGTGTGCAGCTGCAGCTCCTTGCTCTTCCGATGATGATGCTGAGGATTGATGCTTGAGGTGGTGATGGATTGCGTGGAAGTAGCAAGGTGATGAAGGCGTGAGGTGATTTGGTGCATGGAGTTTGGAGGGATTAGGGGTTAGGCTCCTCCGGGTTCAGTTTTGTGCGTGGAGGAAGGCTCCTTTTTATAGATTCTCCAAATCCCCAATTTCTTGCAAAGGAAGAAAAACTAATTTCATTAAAATACTTCTTCTGGAATTTCTTTTTTTTTTCCCGGCCACGGCCTCTGTTTGGACAATTCTGTCAGGAACTGACCTAAAATTCAAATAAATTGACTAGATAGTTCACCGGAAAGATGACTTCACCGGATTGGAGATCAGAAAAATAAGGGAGAGAGAAAGAAGAGTAAAGGGAAAGAAGGATAAGAATTCATAACATAATTAGTTTTCTGGAATATTCGATACCTGCAAATGATCTATTACATTTCATTATATAGTCTCATTCCTTCTAGAACACATCCGGAAATCAAACAAAGAAGAATGCATGAAAAAATTAAATGCTGACATGCAGAACTTGAACGACGTCGTTGCCTTCTTTACCATTTTAGATTTGTGCCAATTTATTTGAATTTTTGAATTTGCCACGCCTGACATTCCCTTCCCCTTAAACAGCAACTTGTCTCAAGTTGTGAAATCAGGAAACTGCCCACAGAAAAAAGAACTATCTTCCCATGATGCATCCTCCACTTCAAATCCTTGCCATTTGATAAGCCATTGTACAATTTCTTGTGATCCTCTCAGCACAAATGTTCTCTGCAATATCTTTTCAAAGAACACTGATCCTTATCCTCCAAATCAGGTAAGTCTGAGATGCTTGCAAGTAGGGCTCCAAAATGCTTCTTCATCAGAGAGACATGAAATACTGGATGCACTCTGGAACCTTCCGGCAATTCTAACTTATATGCTGCATTTCCAATTGATTCCAAGATCTTATATGAACCAAAATACCTGTATGATAACATCAAAGAGCTCCTAGAAACCAATGATTATTGCCTATATGGTTGCAGCTTCAAATACAAATAATCTCCAACCTGAAACTGCCTTTCAATTATCGACTTGTCT